TGTCTTAGCGTACCGGGCGACCCACTTGTACATGTGGGTCCACCAGAAGGACTGAGAGACCGACAGAAAGGTCTTCTCGCGGCCCAAGTGGCCGCTGGAGGGCGCTTCGTGCGCCTCCGTGAGGATATCGAACTTCAGATCCTCGTCGTTGAGTACGACCACCCGTGGAGGATCATTGGGCTCCACCCGGTAATAGAGGAGGCCATCCTTCAACTCATATCGGTGGAGCCGTGAGCGCTGTCGCGACGAGAGCCAGTCGGACTTCGCGCTCGTTCCGGCCATAAGAAACATGACGATAGGCGCGACAGCCTCATCGTCCCGATACGCCATGCGTATCCGATCGTATAGATCCGTTGTCACCCGCGTGATGTGGGCCAACTCATAGTCAGGACGCCGAGAGAGGGCGTCCGCAAGCACGTTGAGCTTGCCCGGCTTGTATTCGACGCGGAAGTTGTATTCCGCGAAGAAGGACAGCCACCTCGCCATCCTTTGGGAGAGGTGAGGCGAGTTAGTCGCCGTCCTCAAGGACGCGTGGTCTGTGTAGATCACAAAGGGCTTAGAGCCCAGAAGGTGAACACGAAACTTCACAAGGGCATATTTCATTGCCATGAGCTCCTTGCCGTGGACAGGGTAGTTCCGTTCGGCGGCTTTGAGCTGCCGGAACTGGAACGAAATGACTCGCTCGTGTCCAGCCGTGTCGGCCTGCAGCAATGCACATCCGACGGCGTAATCGGAGGCAGCACAGACGACGCTAAACGGCTTCGTCTCGTCCGGCAGGGCCAGGACAGGGGCCTCTTGGAGACTGGTCTTGATGCTGTCAAAAGCATCCTGGTGCTCCTGCTCCCAGCGCCAGTCGACGTCCTTCTGAAGGAGGCTCGACAAGGGCTTAGCGAAGCCCGCGTACCCTGTGCTGTACTTGTGAAGGTAGTTGGCCAAGCCCAACCACTTTCGAAGATCCTTCTGGGATCGGGGCGTCGGCCATGCTGCTATGGCCTTTACCTTGTCTGGGTCAGCCCGAACGCCCACGTTGCTTACGAAGCAACCGAGAACTTTAATCTCTGGTGACGCGAAAACGCACTTGTCGATATTGGCGTAGAGATTGTTCGCTCGCATTACGTTCAACACTCGACGGAGGTGGCCTAGGTGCACCTCCATGGCCGTCTTGCCTCCTTCGACACGGCTATGGACGAATATGTCGTCGAAGTACGTCTGTACGAAGGTACGCAAAGGGCGGAACAATTGCGTCACCAGGCGATTGAACGTCGCCGGGGCGTTAGACAAGCACTGCGGCATGACGAGCCACTCCCAAAGCATGCCGCTTGGAGTGCTTACCGCTGTGAGCGGGATGTCGCTCTTTCGCATCAGGATTTGGTAGTATCCGTCTACCAAATCCAGCGCACTGTACAGTACGCTCCCGGCCATGTTGTTCAACAACACATCCTTTCGTGGGATCGGTGTTTGGGCCGGCACCGTTGCGTTGTTCAGCTTCTTATAAGCATGAGCCAGACGCCACTTTCCGTTCGGCTTACGAACGCAGAAAGTCGGCGTCGAGTGCGGGGATTTCGACTCCCGCACCATGCCTGCCTTCGCTTTCGCGGCGAAGAAGGCATCAATGACCTCGCACTGCTCGCGCGGGAGAGGCCATTGCCTCGTGACACAATACTTTGTGCCGTACGTCTCGATCCGGTAGGAGTTGGGTCGGTGGGTGTTTGTTCACCACGTCCGCATACTCCTTTACCAAAGGATACACCGGATCCTTGGGGCTCTTAAGAATCTCAGAACCCAAGCGCGTCTGACGCTGCTTGTTTAGGTCTTCCAGGACGTTCTCGTCCAAGACACATGAGGCGTTCAGCTTCTCCCGAGTGGTCTCAGGTCTCAGGAGCACCATCTTGGCAATCTCTCCAGCTTTGAGATTAGCCAGGAAAGACTCAACCGTCATTTCCTCGATTCAGTATCTCTGCAACCTCTGGCAACGGCTCCAAGTGGACACCAGATGCCTTGACGGGTAAACCGGTCTCGCCATCGAAGATGTGATAACACTCTTCCACCGGCCTTGTCGGAGGAGCCCGGGCCCTGGACTCCGAGTCGCTTGTAAGCGACGTCGATCGGAACGAAGTTCGGATCCGACTTGAGGCGGCGGCGGCGTCGTTGACGACGGCGACCGTGATGTCGGACTTTGCTGCCCACGTCTAGTGATGTCGGCGCTACGACATCCGAGGCACTCGTGGCCTCGTGTGGTAATGTGGTACCCACACAGGAAGCGTGTTCGACGCCTTCCTCTTCAGTTAAGGTCTGGGCGACCGCGTGTGGCACTGTGTTACCCACACAGGAAGCGTATCCGACGTCTTCCTCGTCAGTTAAGGTCTGGGCGACCGTGAGTGGAGCTCTGTTACTTACTCTGAACACGCTGTTTTCAGTGTTCGTGACAGCTGCAGCTGTCTGCGGAACTAAGCTACCCGCCTGTGGACCTAAGTTACTCACTTGGCCAGCGCCTCTTCTGGGCGCTGCCACCATCAAAGCATCCTCGGAGTCGTCATATACGTCGACGACTCCCAAGCATCTGCCGAATGCTTTGGTACCCTGGCAGCCCTTGCGGGCGCCCCGGGTCCTGACAGAGGTGGGAACATGACTCACCAATGCTCTGTCGGACTGCGCAGGGCGGCTGGCACCGATTGCCTTGCCTCGCCAGTCGATCCAGGGCTCGTGCTTCTCAAGCCAGGGCATGCCCAGGATCATATCATATGGATCCATATCGAGAACAGTAAACTGTTCAAGGCTGTCAAAGTCTTCAAACTTGACGGCCAGATCCACTTGGAAGTTGGGGACAGTGACGATCTTCCCGTCGGCCAATCGCACTGACACCGTCCCGTTGCCCTTGCTTTCTCTCAAAGCATCGGACAGCTTGTTGCTGCTGCGAGCAACCGTCTGGCGGCGTGCGAAATTCTTCGACGCCCCAGAATCGATCAAGATTCTAAAGGAATGATCGATCCCCGTACACATCCGTGTACTACGAGCAGCCCGTCGCTGCTCTTCGCCGATTCGAGAGTGCGAAGACTCTCAGGGGCTAAGTCCCCGTGGTACGCGCCACCCGCGCACCCATCACGAAGACTTAGTTCTTTCCCAGTAGGGCGCCCCGCCCCTACTGGTTCCCAGTGTTCCCCTGTCCCCGGGATCCTGGCTTCTGCCAGCGACCCTTGAGGACGGGCTTGGGGAAGGACCGTCTGCGGAGTCTTTCCGCAGGACAGTCGCGCTTGAAGTGGCCCATCTTCCCGCAGCCGAAGCAGCGGATGTCACGCTGTTCGGCGGACCCGAGTTCCATGGGAACTGGTCCGTTGGGGCTTGTTCGGCCGGGAGCCGACAAAGAACTCCCAGGTCGTGCTGAGGCCGGCGTACGCGCCTGGCGATGGCTGTACTCTTCTTGAAGAGCCACTTGAATCGCCTCTTCAAGAGTGCTTGACTGCACCCGGAACAGCTGAGTGCGTGCGGGGCCCACTCGAAGGCCGTCCATGAACACAGTCATCTTGATGTGTTCGCTGAGTGGGTGTCCCACTAGGGACGCCGTGAGCTCCCGTATCTCTTGCACATACTCGTGCAGTTCGCGCCTTCCTTGTTTACACGAGAGGAAGCGCGAACGCTGGCGGTACTCGTAGTTCGCCGGGAGGAACGCGGCTCGGAGCTGTTCGCACAGCTGAGCCCAGGATGTGAAACATCCAGGGGATGTTGCTTCCCGTGTGTACACCCAACTCTTAGCACGACCGCTAAGGTTGGAGAGTGCAAAAGCAACATGAAGTTGCTCGGTCGAGATCAGAGCCGCGTCCATCGCGATCTCTACTTCTCGGACCCAGAAGTGAAGGTTCTCGCCTTCCTTCCCTTCATACGGCTTAACCTTCAGCCGTATTGGCTTCGGGTGAGGCGGATTTGCTTCCGCCGCCGAAGCCTGCAGGTTCTCCCGCACATGCGCGATGAGGCCCTGCTCGTACGCGTCGAATGCATTGACGCGCTCGAGCTGCTCAGCCGGTGTTGACACCACCAGGCTATGCAGGGCCTCCATCCCGAAGATGCCTGCCATCTTCCGAACCGACTCGAACTGAGAGTCGTTCATATGGGAGAAGTCACTCCTATCCATGGCAACGAACTTCGGAGAGGTTCAGGTAGTCTACCCGCGGTGGTGTGGATTGACTACTAGTGCTACTAAGTGTGACGGGGTCACACAGCACCTTGCGCTAGAGGAAGTTATCTTCCGAGAGTATACAAACTCATAGTGAACGGCAGTTCACAGGTCCCTTCTTTAGTGAAAGAGAGCGAAGTGACCTAAATAAAAAGATTGTAAACTGAGTATATTTATAGGTAGGGTAAGTTTGGGTTTAATACAAACTATAAGTTACCTTTAGAAATGCAATGTCGTTTGACCAATGGTTGGCTTTGAACGACCTTGGTACCCTGTACCAAATATCCCGGAGTATGACGCTGAAGTGTGAAGTGTCACACTTCATGTAACCAGGGTACACTTAGGGCTACGTACCCCGCTACAGTGATAACCCCTACTGTTTTTTTGAAACCTGGATTAGAACCGGTTTTATTATTTTGTTTTTGCCTGTTTTAGTTTAAACTGCCTATCACATGTTCTACTGTATTCCTACTTCTACTACGCTATCCTACGTTACGTTCTCTACGTGCAACGTCTCTGTTCATGTCAGCGCGTAAGTACTCCACAAAACTATGGTCTTGGATCGCAGTATACCGTTAATAGTAACTTCGTAGGAAGTACAACACTCCGACAACCCGACAATGCAACCGACGTAAGCGAAAGCGGGATTTTGATTGGGTGCCTTCCAAAATCCATATAAAACGGTTTAATCAGTTTATTCGGTAATTTAAAATAAATTACAAATCGGTTTAATGCTTGCTGAAATGCCTTCGAAGTTTAGTGATGTGTTTAATCACGTTGGGAGACCAAAAAGTGGTCACCAAACAGCTCATCGTGATTACTTAAGTAAACTTTAATGCGCGCTGCAATTCTGACTTACATGTCAGTATTTCATAACTAGAGTACAGTATGACACTTAGGTAACGTTACGATGTCCGGTATCGGATATTGCTCTTGCAGAAAGTTAGGCTTGATATTTTCATGCAATGTGTTGACTTGATGAACAACTACAGTACAACAGCGAGCTGTAGTTTAATAATTTCAATTCAACTTTTCTTTAGCTACTAACCGAAGAAAGCACGAGATGAGATGCCGCTTACTTGAAGACCTTGGAGTCAGCGATGGGCTTGCCCTCCAGCTCGTCCTCGTTGCACCAGTAGGCAGCAACGCGAGCCTTCGTCTCGTCGTTCAGCTCCGCCTTCTTCCACGTGTAGTACTCGGCGTCCGGGTTGGCCTCGATCATGTGCTTCTCCGAGTCGCCACGGAACAGCCAGCAGCCCGTGATGATGATCTCCGAGCCCTCGGCACCGCACACGTCCATCACACCGAACGCGTACTTGCGCATGGCTTCCGAACGCTGCAAGAAGCCACCAACGGCGTTGCACGTCATGAACATCTTGGTGTTCTCGTTGTTGTAGTTGTAGTCGCAGAACCACAGAGAGTAGCCCTCCGTGTCCAGGTGCTCCCAGAACCACGTCATGGCGTCGGCCAGGTTCCTGGTGTTCGAGTACTGCACCTTCCAGGCGTCCAGGTTCAGCGACGAGGGCTTCTCACGGTTCAGCACGGCAAGCGGGTGCTCCACCTTCTTGGGCTTGGGGGCCTCCTCCTTCGGGGCAGCCTTCTCCTTCTTGGGAGCGTCCTTCTTGGCGGCGTCCTTCTTGGCGGCCTTCTTGCTAGAATTGTCGCCCTCAGCGGTCAGAGCCACGTCGATGAGCGGCACGTCACCGACAACAACAGCCTAGAACTCCGGCTGGTTCACCAGCGTCGAGAACCAACGGTTCACGGCCGAGTACGGCTTGCGGAACTCCTTGTCCAGCACAAACTTGAATGGGTACACCAAAGCCGAGGCGATGACGATGTCTGCCAGCGTCACCTGTTCGCCCACCAAGTAGGTGCGGAGGTGCAGGTGGTTCTCGAGGGTCTGCAGAACCTTCTTCACGTCAGCCTTGGCCTTGGCGAGGGCAGCGGCGTTGAACTTGCCGACATTAAGGATGGGGTACACCCACACCTCAAGAGGCACTTCCAGCTCATACGCCGAGAAGTCGATCCAGGCGTCTACCAGACCAGACTCGAAGAAAGTCTTGCCATACAGACCCGTGTCAGGGCGCAGACGAGCAATATAGCGGGCGATGGCGCCACTCTCAAAGATGGCCCCCTCCTCGGTCTCGAGGATCGGTACCTTGCCAATGGGAGTCTTGGCCTTGAACTCTTTGGTCTTGATATCCTTGGCGAAGTCGAACGCCGGCAGCTCAATGTCGACGCCGTTGTACTCGGCGGCGATAAGCACCTTGAATGCGCGGTAGTTTCCAGGGTATATGTAGAGCTTCTACTCAAATATAACAGCATAGTGAGTTCTACATTATATGCTCGGCAAGCAGCATCCAGCAACAACGTCAGCTTCGTACCATTTTGGAAGAAGATGAAAAATGACTGGAGACACCAATTATAATTGTGAGGTGGAACTGAGTTTCGAAAATTGTTTTGACAATATTGCAATAATGAAACCTTATTGTTAGACAAAAAGAAGGAGCATGCCCACAAATCGGGGGGAAAGGACACTATTTTGAAAGGATCTAATTTGCAGTCTAATTATTGCTGAACCTACGATATTTCCGAGTGGACAACCTGTTGACAGCGAGTTGGCATGATCCAACTTGCGTAGTGCAATCATGGTCACGAGCTGAAGCTCGGGCTTAAACCCAAGATTATAATTTCATCACCGATCTATCCTTGGACTATGCAGACAAGCGAAATTTCTTCTCTGCCGATTGCACCAGGATTCAATAAAGTGCAAATTTGTCACCACCTCCATCACATAATAACCTTTATCATAACGTCATTGAGAAAAAAGAAACCTAACTCTCTTTGGAAGACAAATCTAATTAGCTGTGGATTCTGATAGAATCCACAATGCTGAACTCGTGGCGAATAAAGTGTCGCACGTTTATGACACGCTGTCGCGACCTTCGCGCAACCGCCTATGTGCACAGTACTGTGTACAGGCTGTACTGTAACCGGCGCTGGCTTCTTGGCCGCCCAGCACTTGACGAAAGAGACGAGCGGCAGGAAGCCCCGATCGACGCCGCAGTTCGACCGGAAAGCCTCGAACAGAGAGCCATAAGTGCCGTTTCCGCCGCCGCCGCCCTCGCTACTCACTCCTGCAGGCCCCAGCGACGTTTACACCAAAGCGGACCGACACAGACCGCTCTTGTAACAGCGCATGGCTAGCAGAGATAATAGAGACAGCGGCGGCCTCCGCGTGACAGAGCGCCAGCCAATTTATAACGGTCCCAGCAGCTCAGCGCCGTCCAGCCGCAAAAAAAAATCCCGCCGCCCCCACGCGCCGCCACCGCCGCCTCCACAGCGACCGCAGCAGCATTTTAACCCGAACGAAGTGGAGTACGATATGGTCGAGTCGGAGCGGCAGTTGCCCGGCAGTGAGATGCCCTATTATCGCACAGACAGCGCTCCAAATGCTCAGGGCTTTCCTAACAGCATGCTCGAAGCAGGGTACGTCCATATTAGTATGTTGTGACGTTGAGACGGGTATTAACGTTCACTTGTTGTGTACTATGTCGGTAGTAGTAATGGTTACTCGTCTATGAAAACTCCGATTGAGCTCAAGAAGCCGCCCAGCTCTAAACAAATGCGTTCTGTAGATGAGAGCTCCGAGGACAGTTTCGATAACGGCAGCTACGTGACCGACAAGATCCAGGGCGGTCCTAATGAAGGCATCGGCTGGTTCCACGCGAAGATTAAGGTCGAGAACTCCATCCACTGGGCCAACAACTACAAGATCCAGTGCATCATGTTCTTCATCTTCATCTGCGGAGCTGCAATGACCGTCGCCTTTGCGGACAATGACGCCGACGCGTCTGTTGGACTCGTGGCAGGCAGTCTCATCACGCTTTTCTGTTGTTGTGCCGTGGTCTACACGTTCCTGACGCGCCCGACCTGGCGGAAACACCCGAACCCCATCATTTTCTTCCGCAGTATCTGTGATATCTGTCTGGTGGCGGTGCTGCTCATCACGGAGCTGTACAAATGTGGCAGTGGCGACTGCTCCAACACACTTACAGGGGCGTCTTGTACGGCCACAGCGGCACTGACGCAGTTCTTTCTCTGGACGTCGGAGAGTTGGTTCTTTGTGATGGCTATCGACATGCTGTCGTCTCTGCAAAGTCCGTTCACGGACTACAAGAGCAACGTTCGTCGTTACCACGGTTTTGTATGGGCCACAGGTATGCCACAGTGCTCGCTTTGCAGCTGATACCTCTTCCTAATCTACAGAATACTGTCTGTGATCATAGGTCTGCTGACGTGTATTTTGCTGGTGTCCATCCCCGACTTCGCCGGTGAATCCGAATTCGGATACTGCTGGACTGCGAGCAAGAGCAAGTTGCGTCACGACCACAGTGAAAGTTCAGATTCAAGCGAGACGGGCAACCTTTGGAACCTCAACTTTCAGTACGTTCACTTGGACACTTATTGTGCTTGTTGGGGAGATTTGTAACTCTAATTGTTTGCTGTGAACCAGGTCGTGGTTGCTATTCTACATTTGGCTCATTTTGTACTGGGTTTACGCCATCACGTACGTACACGAAGCTGTCTTGTCGTTTAGGTTGCAATTACAATACTGACCAGGATCTCCCCCCTACAGTGTTATTTTCTGGGCGTACAGACGTCTTAACTCCGGTTTATCCGAGACACTGCGTATGCGTCTTCGCGTGTTGCACTCAGTCACGATGTAAGCTTCTTATGCACTGGCCTTGTGAGTGGACGTTACCTGACAATGTTCTTCTACCGTTTGCCAGCTATGTGATCGCCATTATCATCTACTGGGGACTTTCTTTTTGTATCTACGTGCCGTTTCTGGTGCAGGGCGACGAACGTTCCAGCTGGGTGGAGCAAATGATGAACTTTATGATCACGTGCAAGGGTTACTTCGACTTTGTGGTCTGGTTCCAGATGAACGATTTCCACGAAGTGTCGAAGAAGGGCAAAGGGAAAAAGGCGGACGTTGATGTGGATGTGGATCTGAGTCCGCAAGTGAATCTGGCTCTGCGTTGCGAGGTGCTGTACTACACGACGACAGGTATCATTCAGGCGGTGCGAGACACGCAGCACCTTCCGCCTGGCGCCAACCAACAGGAGTTGTATCTGCAACCTCAAGGCACTGAGGACAACCGTGGATCACTTGGTGTGGACGAGTATATGATCCGAACACGACCGAAAGCAGCACTGGGCAAGGGCACGTTATTTATTGACTACTGTCCCCACACTTTCCAGACGATCCGTGAGCACTTTGGCATTGATACGAGTCGATACATTGAGAGTCTCAGTCGAACGACCAAGGAACGTCTGAGTGAAGGAGCAAGTGGCGCCTTTATGTTCTTCTCGCACGACCAGCAGCTGATTGTGAAGAGTATGAGTGACGAGGAGTCGGTCTTCCTGCGCTCGATCGCCGCCGAATACGCTTCTTTCTTGCTTACCAACCCAGACAGCTTGCTGACTCGGTTCTACGGATGTCACGCCATTCGACTGTACGGCAACACGTTCAATTTTGTCGTGATGGCCAATTTGTTCAGTACGGAGAAGGTGATTCACCGTCGCTACGACATCAAGGGGTCGTGGGTGAACCGCAGTGCCAAGCACCCTTCTAAGGGCAAACGAGTTACGTGTCGCCACTGTAACGCCAAGTACGTGTTCGGTTCGACTGATGCTGAGAATTGCCGGGCACGAGTTGGTCGTCACGAGCCTAATGTGATTCTTAAGGACAATGACTTGACGGCTAAAGTTCGACTGGACGCGAAGGTCGCCGAAGAGCTGTACGACCAGGTCGTTAAGGACGCCAACTTCTTATCGCGCTTGGGGATTATGGATTACTCGCTTCTGCTGGGTATCCACAACGTGGAGTACATGGTGAACCCGGACCTGGAGGAAGAACCGGTTATCCCGCCGAAGGATGCGGTTGGACCGAGACGTCGTACCATCAACAATTCCACAATGAACGGTGCGCCTTTGAGAGAATCCAAGCCTCGTCAGCATCTCCCACGTGTTGCCACGGGCACGCGTCGAGCGAACACCGTCGTGGGTCCATCGATCTACTACTTCGGTCTCATTGACATTCTTCAGACATGGAACATGGACAAGAAGTTGGAACGTTTTGCCAAGACCAAGTTGCTGGCGAAGGATGCTGATGGATTGTCGGCTATTCCTCCTGCTGCGTACTGCGAGCGCTTTAAACGGAAGATGGGCGAGATTTTGTCCGTGACCACCCGCGAGGAGTACCCGGAGCGCTTTGTAGGCGAGCGGAGGGGGAGCAACAGTGGCACAGTCAATGGAGATGCAGACCCCAACCACCGTTTTTTTTAAACCGTGAGGCCTTGGTGGGAAACGAAGGCGATGGTGAAGCCCCCCACCGAGGGCCCGCCCTCACGGAGCGGAAGAAGTTGCATCCCCTGCTAGGAGGGTTTTTATGTTGACGACGTGCGGCTGCAAGTCAGCGGGTGTACTTTAGATGAAACTACACAAGCAGCCAAGAGCACCAGTCCCAGCGAACTAGTTAATCAACCAACCGATAATGAATCGAGCCATGCAGTTTTGATTTCTATTTACCGTTGCAACATCTCACTGACAGTACGTGGCAAACATTTTCGTTGGCAACATCCGTTTTTTTGGCGGGAAGTGGCTAATGTCTTGATTTTACTAAGCTCTCTTTAGCTGAAACCTAAACTGGCAAAAACGGTCAAATAAAAGACGTCAATGGCAACAGCTCATGACAATCGTCGCCGCCCAGTTCGCAACGCGCTGCTTAAGTGGCAACTCCAGGAGGATCAGAAACGCATTGCGGCTACACAGAGGCGTCTGATGCGCATGGCAGCGCCGTCTCTTGGCCTTAATAGCTACGACCGTAGAAGGCCTCGACCCGTGCAGCACGACCCAGAAGAGGACGCACTAATGTCGCTTCTAATGGAGCGCGAAGAGCGAGAAGCAGGCAAAACCAATCACCACATGGGACACTTACAGCCGTCCAAGCTATTATATCCGTCAAAGTTGCCACCTTTGCGTCGTCCTGAGGGAGTTAAGCCAAAAGTCAATAATTCCATCAAGAAAGTCACATTACGCGCCACAGGACAGAAACTCAATGCTGCCGGAGATTTCTACTCTCCAGTGAGACCAAGCGAGTCTTCACTCAACAATTCAAGCTCGGGATTCCGCCAGAATTTGGCAATTTCGAGGATAAAAGCGCCGACCCCGAAACGATCGGTGGGGGCGACACCAGCGTCGTCACCGAAGACTTACGACCAGATGAAGACGCCCGATAGATGGCGCACCACCGCGATGCAGTCGAATCAGGAAGAAGAATTCAATGCGTCGGCGTTGAAGCGATGGGAGGAGGAAGACGCACTGCAAGCTGACAGGTTGTTGGAGAAGGCCGCGAAAGATGGCGACAATGAAGCGCTGTGGAACGATTTCTTCTACGGTACTAAAGCTGCTCGTGCCAAGTCGAATCAGTTGCCGCAACAACCTATAGTGTACTCGACAAGTAGTTTCCCAGAGGTTTTTTCACGTAGTAGATCGAATTCCCACGGCAGCTCTTGCTACGAAGACGACCGACTTCACAAGACTGGCGACGGGATGCTGCCTAGTGAGTTATGTACCAAGCCAACAAGGCAACAGACAATGATAGCCACTATGCAACAGAGTCATGGGGACTCTCATACTGCCGACTCGAACGCTCCCACTTCAACGCAAACGATATCAGAGATGTTGGCGTCGATGGAGAAGTCCACAGAAGCTGATCCAGACGGTGGAGATCTCGTAGCGGGTGATGAGAACCACGACGACTGCAATGGAGGTGACGGAGATGAAGTTGGTGAAAAGTCTAGAGGAGATGTTGACGTACAGAGTGGAAGGTCTCGGGACGTGGAAATCCCACGATGGAGTGTGATCATGGTGGCTAGCTGCTTAGTAATTGGGACGAGTGGGTTTTTCATGGAAGACTTGATGAGTGTGATGGGATTATTTACGAGACGAACGTTATTCACGCTTTCAAAAAGTGAACAAGAGCGTATGCGCAAACGAGTGAGTGCTCTTCAACTGGAGCTACAAGGATTTCAGTTATCGACGTCGGAGATCGAAATGCAGTCCCAGACTGCGTTAACAGAGCTGTGTCGACATATGGGTAGGATGAGACGAGATCGCGAGAAGCATCAAGACATGCTCGCGAATGAAATGCTACAACTCCGTCGACATGTTTTACAGGTGACACATGAGCTGGTGGAGAAGGAACGGGAATCGATTCAAACGCAGCTGGAGGAAATGGTGAAAGCTCAAGTGATCATCAAAGAGAAGGCGGACGAGGAAGTGGACGACACGGCGACTGAAGCGCTGCTTGATGTTCAGTCGGCTGCCTCCAAGGACAAGTCTGAGCTCGAGTCTCGGTCGGATCCTGGTCACATCGAGCATCATCAGAAGGCTGACAAAGACCAAATCAAGAATCTAGAGCTCCCTGCCACTGAACTGAACCACAAGGATGTCATCGCTCCGATTCTACAGAAGGAAAAGGTCAGCAATTCATCCGGAGAAACATCAAACCTACTCAACAATGCGCAAGATCGTACCGACAAGAAGGATTCGATACCCCAACAGAAGTCGAATGTCGCCCTGTCACAGTCACACAATGTGGAGACCACAATTGAGACTGTATCGCAAGCTCACTCCGAGAAGGTAAAGGTCGAGCTTGACCAGGTCATAGCGACCCCAGTACCAGTACTCGAGCGAGCTGACGTTTCCACCACGCCAGCAGCAAATGTGAAAGTCGTGGCACAGTCGCGGCAGAACGCAATGGGGATGTCGTTGGACGAAATTCTCCTGCTAGTGGGCCTCATGTTTCTCGCAGCTTGTGTGGTACTTCGTGTCTACAACATCAATCGCCGTAAAAGGTGGTTCGAGGAGCGGCGCAAGAGGAGGAACCAGCGAGCATTGCGACTTGCTCAGCTTAGAGCTCGCGCAATGGCCGAAAGCCAAAACGACAGCGATGAATGGGACGACGAGGCGGATGGCGTCGAGGAAATTTCTCTCATGACGCCAGTACGAGACGAGGACGAACAAGAGAAACCGGAGCTGGAGCCTCAGACATCGGACATTGATACCGACGTGGAAGACAGCAACCAGACCGAACAAACGGCAAATTCAACAGCAGAAATGTACCGTGTGGCGACAACCGAGGTGGGAATTGTGGCGAACTTGTTGGGGATGATATCTCGACTAACTATTATACTGTTGTGTCTTTCACAGCAGCGAGCTAGTACAACCACACGCAGTAGTCGACAGCGTAGCCACCGCAGCCCTCAACACCGTCGTCAAATACTAGCAAAATACACAATAGGATAGGCGAAATCTAATATTGTATCACCGGAAACTTTGAGGAGGGAAGACCCAATCGAAAAGATGCTATCATTTCATGACGCACTATTTTAATCAATTGTTTTAGGCACTCGTTATCTAGCCCGACTGGGTGTGAAAGAGTCAGGCTACATTGCCCGACCCAACCCGACGGATGCCCGACTGACCCCGACTAGATAAAGGTTCAGTTGTGCAATCACAGGAAACGCACTCCAAGTATACGTGTCCAGCGCGTATACACGGATATTAAGACTCTGAATCTGACGAAGAGGGCAAAGCATTCAATGTACTCCGTTCACAGCGGATCCAACTTAGCACTCAAAAACGTTTTTCTAAAGTAAAATGATTGCTAACTTGTTAGGCTTACGCGCACATGCAGAGGTATCGATAGCGCAAATACTGTAGTTCCTTTCTGTTCAGGTAGCTAAGTCCGTCGGCCCCAGCAAACACTTCAAACGCCAGCAAGACATACATCCCGCAGTTAAAACTGTCGACCTGAACGCCTAGATTTCCACGATAGGGAGAGACACGATACTTTCGTGGGGCGAAATTTGGCAGCTGGGTCACTATCTTCTCAGTAAGCGCTCGGACTCCAATCATGTATGTAGAAGCCATTGGGTCGTACACGATTGCCTCTGTGCGCTCCACATCCACCATAATACCACACCAATGGTTCTTGTTGCAGCATACAGGGATCAGAATTTTCTCCGTCGACAAGTTCTTGAACATGTCCGCGAATACCGTCATCGGGACTGAGACAGCACCATGTTCCATTGGACCGATAACATTTGTATCCACAGTTATAATACTGGCTTTGGACTCGAAGAGCGAGGACATAACAAAGCTAATAGTATCGTCACTTAGTTGAGTTTTCCCAATGAGGTCCAGTATTTCCGCCTTAACTCACATTAAGGAAAGTTAGCATGAGCTGAAACGATTTTGTACAACGACAAAATACATACCTTTGATGACAGCAGGGGGATGGCCTTCAGTTTTGCTGGAAGAATGGACTACTCTGTGACTTGAAACGACTGCGGCATGGTGACATCGAAATCAATACTCTCCGCCCAACTCAGACCTCTCTCGATAAGTTTAATGGATTTTGTAGCTGTGTGCCATTTCTTCATGATACCCACCGTTCGTGTTGAATACAAACCAATCCCAGCAATATCCAGCACCACACCCTGTTCGCGTAGTCCTTTGTATTTTGCTTGCAGTTTTGCGACTTTTCCACTGCATGTTCGAATTTGTTCGGGACGTAAAATTCTCGTTATAGAGTCCGATTGTATAACCAGCTTCGTTGGTGGTAGGCTGGATACGGTTCGAGCTGTAGGCGCCTTAAACTTGAAGCTTGTGTCAACCATCTTGAACTTTGTGGGAACAGCAGCCGCGGATTCGTATGTAGCGTCGATAGATAACACACTTTCAACTGTGGCAAGGCTTAAATTTGCCGCGTAAAGTTCCGAGTCTTCTTTCGCCATATCAACAGTTTTTTTGCGGGCTGCTTTCTTGGCTTTGGGGGTTAACTTTGGCCTTCCTCGTGACCTCGGCGGACTTGCGATTTCAAACGGCGTGTCCTCTGCAGCTGCCTCTAGGGGCGCGTTTAATGGAATTTCATCGTTAATTAGTAAAGCTCCACAATCTCCACGTGAACTCTCATTGCCTATACCGCTCGATTCAATCGTTTGTGAAGACTCTCCAAGCTCTCCACAATGGCCCGACCGGCCCGACTGACCCGACTCATCCGACTGCCCCGACTGACCAGACCGCTCTGACAAGTTTGCTATGTGATTATCCTCCTCTCTTGCCGTTGCAAAAGCTGTGACTTCTTCGTCTGGCTCGGAAACGCATGTAGCTGGTACAGATGTGTCTGGTAAAAGCTCCTCCGGATCGGGCTCGCCCACGGCTCGGGTAGGATCTTCGAACTCACCTCTCTTGAAACGACCTGCCACTTCTTGAAGGTACTGCATGGCATCTTGATACTGTGCCATACCCAGTCCAGCCATAGTGTCGCAAATTTCGGATGCAATAGGTAAGGCTTCTCTATACTTGCGATTTGAATCCCAAGGTCGATTTCGAGCAGGCAGAACATTCTTCACTTCGAACGGCTTCGGTGTAGAGACGTGATTACTGGTACCGTTGTTTTCAATTGCCGACCGCACGGTAGATATCAGCCATCTCTTGTTTAGCGTGAGGGTCGGAATAACAGTTTCTTGGCCCAAGGCTTTGCGGAGGTAAAATACGTGGCGGCATGGCAGTAATCGCGTGCACATGAACAGGCAAGAGCACGTCCAGTCGCACTTTGTAACGGAGTATTCTGTGTCGACCTCATCCAGTGCATCGATATCCTTGCACGTACTCTTTATCAAGTACACACCGGGCAGCCGCTCAGAGAAGGTATACGCCGCTCGTCCGAGAGCAAAAGAATACTGCCCGTAAATAAGATCACAGGCGTGTTCGCTCACAATATTTGCCAGCCAGGTCATTTCGCCATCGTAATTTGGGTGCTGTACGTTCACGTTCTTCGTCACTTCGCCGATGAACAACTTTTCTTGTAGTGTTTGATAGTACATCATAGACGCAATACACTCATCGACAGACATGAAAGAATCCACCCACGCTTTTAATTGCTTCCATGAGGCTTCCAGCCTGTTGTTTGTGTTATTTCCGAGTGTAATCGTATTTTGGCGCTTGTACGCACACCACATCTCACGGCAATTGTCCCAATTCCGGCGGAAATACGCCACAAATGGATGTTCTTCGTCGCATCGAACGGGTTCTCTCGTTGGCGTTTGGTCTGTACTCGATTTCGCATGCCCGACTGCACCAGACTCACTCCCGACTGCACCAGACTCACCCCCGACTGTACCAGACTCACCCCCGACTGACCCCGATTGAGTTCGGTTCACTCCCAGTTGGCTCCGGCACATTAGACGCTGGGACGTAATAGCCAATTGACGCGAGGTGGACCATGTACCGCAAATGCTTCTCGTATTCTGCTTCAGTCTTTGCGTACACCAGTAAACTCATCGCACCTCCAAGTTTCTCCTTCTGGGTCTTCGAAAATCCATAGTCAGCCGAGGCAATTTCTTCACGTAGGTATTTCAGTACGTGAAATTGGCAGAGCAAAATAGTCACTCCAGAAAAAGCTTCTTTCAATACTGAGATCTCCGTGAAATCCTTATCCACAAGAACACACTGCAGCCTTTTCCACGCTGGATTATTAACTTTGAATTCCTCCAGCGCCGTCAGTAATGTAGTGTACCGCTCGTTTTGAAGCAAAGCGTGCTGGACGAACTGCCCCTTACCAAACGTGTCATGAGCCATAAACGAAAAGACCTTGTACTTAGACCGATTCGTTCCGTGGGTGGCGTCAATCAAAAGAACTTCAGGAAACTGCTCGAACAGAGTCCTCATATGATTCGTCTGCAGGGTGATGCAAGTCGCCACTTTCTGTATGTTCAAACACGATAAACATAGAGTTAAGTTTTCATCTTTTCAATTCAACCCAAATTATTCACACCAGTTACCTTCTGATTTATATCGTCGAGGAAAATCCGACCAACATTACCAGGGCGGTCACCAAATTGCTTCATCCACTTCTTCAACCGCTTTTCACTAGTGCTCGGGCCATCTCGCAATTCCCGAGCCTTCAACTTACGAATAAGATTGTGGACATCCTGCGAAGTCGGGTTGCTGTCCGAGTTTTCCGTAATGTACTTCATGATACTCGACTTCTTAGCACCAGCCTGTCGAAGTACATCCACTGTCTGTAAAGCATCCTCATTCAGTACAAGACGATTTGTTGGATGTGCTCTAAACGAATGGTTCGAAAGCCGATGATTGTGTTCCAGTCGGCATCTCGTTATCCTCACAGCGAAGATCATCTTCTCAGAATCCACCACCTGAACACAGGCATTTATCTACACATAATCAATCACATAGAGAGTGGTAAGACCTCATTTGGATTTCCATCACGACCAGACAAGTCTCAATCCCGATCGAACGAACCCGACCAAGCCCGACCAAGCCCGGTGGAGCCCGACCGAGCCCGATCATTCACTTTACCTGGGCATTGCATCCTTTCATCCTAGACTCCTGCCGGGGTCTCTTGCTCGTGGCCTGGGACTTAAATTTCCCGGAATAGGTGCAAACAAAGGTCTTTGCGTATTGCACCCACTCGTCAGGAAGTTTTTCCGCCTTTGACTTTGTGCGGTCGATCCGTGCGTTGCGCTCTGCCACAGTCGTATTTGTCCTCACCCTGAAAATCTACAGATAAATTCATAGTGCATGTCAGCCAAAACGTATATACACAGCTATAGAAAACACGTGCCTGGAACGTCTGTGCTTGGTATACGGCCAGATAATCTTCAAACACCTCCCAGGAGGGAAACTCAACCTTCTTAGGCGCCAAGGCGAGTACGCGGACGGAGCTACCACCTTCGCTTGTGCTGCTGGTGGATTCCGGCGGATCGGAGCAGCTCACTGGCTCCAACGGAATATGTGTCGTATTAAGCTCACTCACGACGGGGGAAGGCGCCCAGACGTCAGCAGGAGGCGCATCCGAACTATTATTCTCGCTCTCATCGGACTCCCACTCAGCTGAATGAGTAAGAGGGCGCTTTTGCGCTGCGCGCGTGCGGAGATCCATGCTTGTCGCTCACGCTCTCCCCGTTAACGAATTGTGTGGCTCACGGTGGTATACGATGTATACATGAACCAGCTCGGTAAGAGAAAGGGATGCGTAGGGGAAGGGCAATCCCAGTCGGGCAAGATACCCACTCTCATTGTTTTATACCCATTCTCAATTTTCGGACAATAATGCTGTCGCGTGCTATTCGTCGAGTGCAGCACTCCACGCCCCACCGCGCCTTCAGCTCCGCAACAGGAGGCATTAAAACCGACACCGAACAGCGCACCGAGTCGCTCTACTTTACGACACGTAGGGAATGAACTAAGAGATGATTAAAACTCTGTTTTCTATAAGTACAACAGGTAATTTTTTTTTTTTGCCACAGGTGATCATATCAAAGGGCGAGAAGTATTGGAGGAGTTCGGGATGGTGTCGGCCGTGGCGGTGCGGTCGAAGTCCGTCATTAGCGATATGTATGTGGCTCTATCGGGGCTTGTGGGCGGCGAAGCGGCGTCGTACACTTCGTTGATGAACGAGACGATGGCTGAGGCGGTGCATCGAGTGCAGTACGCAGCTCGAGCTCAGGGGGCCACAGCAGTCATCAACGTACGATTCGACTCCAATACGACAATGAATCGACTGGTGTTCGGTATGCATTGCTCAGTGATCTGCTACGGGACAGCAGTGAGGTGCCGTCCACAGCCTCCAGTGTCGAAGATCACGCTGTGATGATAAATAGACGTTGGATACAGTGTTTTATTCGTTAATTAGGAACATAACGAAGAGTTTTTTATATGCCGACGACCGGCACTTGCCTCTCGACGACGAAGTGCCGGTTTATTCCCTTGTGCTAGTGGGAGAATAGCGGCAGATTGTGCACCGAGAACAGTCTCCAGGAGCTCTGTATTTGCAGCTTGGTTATTGGGAGTTTGCTCCGATTTCTTGTCTTTCTTCTTTTTGGAGATGAAGCCTCCTCCGAGGAATAATCCGTCGGCAGCACGACATGCAAATACCTCGCGTTGTCGATCACTTAAACGTTTTCCAACTTGTTCACAGTCGTCATCAACATCCGAACAACTATCTTCGATTTTCGAGGAGTCAGTAAAAGGAGTGTTGTCACAGCCAGAGAGACTGTCGAGTGGAGATAACGCTCGTGCATCGATGTTCAGTGTCACTAAAGCGGGTAGTCGTGGGTGTTCAAACTCCGTAGACTGATACTGTTGATAGTAGGATTCTGGATATTGCAACGGCGTCACAGTCGTTCGTTCAGATACTCCGTAGCAATCACGGCTGCTAGTATCGTTCTCGATGCTGTCGAGAGACAACAAGCTTGTTGACACCACACCTGGATGTTTCTGTCGTTGAAGAGATTTCGTAAGTTGCTGATGTTGGTGAAGCGCAGTTCGAGTGTATTTTTGCTGTTCTCGTACAATTTCCAGCAGTTCTTGTGTTTTCTCATCTTTCAATTGCTTTTTGGCTTTCAGATCTCGAAGCTGGCGAGAGTTTGTGCGTGGAATTCGTGCAGCAGCCCCCGTGACACCGAGGAGAGGTCGGTTCTCTTCTTTGTATCCGTGAAAACTGGTAACTCGCTGGTTTTGCCGCCTTAGTTCATCGTCACGAAGTTGTTGCAACGATTTGATCCGAGCTGGACTGAGGTTGGTTTTCCCAAAGCTCAGCTGAAAAGCGTCATCGTCAAAAAGGGGCGTCGATGCTGCTTCAGTAAGAGCTTCCAGTACCGATGGCTTGCTCGGTTCTGCTGGATAATCAACTTCCGATTCAGACAAATTTACGATTCGACGAGGGTCATTCTGGTCCAAGACGCGTTGCAACAAGTGTCGAGCCTTCTCCTCTCGTCTTCGTGGGTGGATCGACGATGCGAAAACGCGTTTTTCCTGTCAAGCGAAGTAGTGTTAGACATTAATGGAGACGCTTTACATATAAGTGATGCAAACATGAGGTACTTTGCTACTGCGAGTGGCTGTCGAAGTGTCTGGGTAGTAATGTTTCACGCGTGCACCGAGCAAAAACTCAAGCGGCACATGATCATTCGAATCAGTCTCCGGCAGCATTGATTTTCAATAGGCTATTTCCACTTGTGGCAGTTTCCTCGACACGTCAGTACCATTCAGGAACAATCTCGAGCAGTTAAAAAAAATAGCGACTGAAATGAATTTCTACAATCAAAAGCGACTTGGAGGGTGATAACATACAGCATGGTCTGGTGTTGTCCAGGCCCCGAAGTCATCTCTGAAAAAGAGGGAGCCACGGATCCAAGAAATGGACTCGTGCCTAAAAGTCAGCGAAAGTACGATCTCAACTTCTTTGTAGTCGGCTGCGTCTTAAACTAAACAGCGGCTCGTTTTCTCCATGGTCAGGTGTCGAGATGGGATTTGCTGCGTTGTGTTTATAGTCTACTGGATCGGCATGGTAAGCAGTAACAAAGCTCGGAATACCCCCCTAGCTGACGGTACACACTACATTATCTTTTAAGATTATTGTAGCCATCGTCGCTCTACAGACGGGTGAGCCTTTGAGGTGAGCAGGTTGCAGCTAAGAGCCAATGCACTGTAGTTTTCCTAAGGGCTTCTTTTGCTTATTTATTTACTAGTCTTATCTACGGAAAAGACTACAACGGGAATGTGTGTGGAGACGGTGACTACGTCAATGCTCGCTTCACGACGTACCCTCGTCGGAACGAAGATCTCTTGGTTGCAGCAGCAAACGGCGTATCTCCGACTAATGCAAAATTCTTCGGTGTCTGTGTGGAAAGCTGCCCAAGTGCTGGCTCGAAAACCTGCACGTACGGTGGTGAGATGTGTTGGGTTGTTGCTCAAGAAACCGAGCCAGCATTGTGTCGCTGCTTGCCAGTAATTGTCAGCAACGAAACCGTTCTTGAAGAAGTTTGCATTGATCCTGAAGGCGCTGATTCAAACTGCACTGTGCATCGGTACGAGGCTGGCGAGTGCAATGCAATTTGCAACACCAAACGTGCTCATAAGGAAGTGTGGGAAGTGGAAGCTACTGGTGGCACCAGTCCATTATTGAGCCAGCTGCAAGGCAATCTACAAGTTCTTGGGCGGTTCTTGAACGACATGTATGCTGCTCGTTCAGTTGTTCTACTGGTGGGAGGTCTTGGAGCTTTGATCCTTGGCCTGCTGTGGCTGGTCGTGCTGCAATTCTTCGCTGGTTGCGTGGTGTGGCTTACCTGTATTCTTGTACTCATCGGGTTGATATTACTGAGTTTGTTTTGCTCTGTACGCTCGGAATTGATATCGTCAGAAGATGTAGAAGCTCTATCATTTATGAATGCCACATCTATCGACACAACGGCATTGGCGGTGACGAGTGATGAGAACACCAAGCTACAGTTCAAGTCTGCTGCGTATGTGTTGTGGGTGGTCACAGTAGTCGTCTTGTTGCTCATTATTTCAATGCGTAAACGCTTGAAAGTCGCCATTGCGATTATCCGTGAAAGCTCCAAGGCGATGCAAAAACTTCCGATGCTGTTGCTTTGGCCACTCGTTCCGACAGCATTTTTCGTGGGGCTTGTTATCTACAGTGTTGCTATAGCTGCCTATCTTTTGAGTTCGGATGATTTGTCGTCTGCAGTGAAGGAAGCTGCTGCGACGTTCAATGTTACGAGTGAGTTACGCGCTGCCGAAGAGCTACCGGCTAAAAGATTGCAACAAGTGCTACTCGCCTTCCACGTCTTTGGCTTTTTGTGGACAAACCAACTACTGCAAGCCATCTCAATCTGCGTCATTGCTGGTGCCACCGCACAGTTATACTGGACACCACCGTCGAGTAATGGAAAACGCAAGATGGAAGCGAGCTTTCCAATAGCCCGAGCACTTGGATACACGCTTCGTTTCAGTTTGGGATCACTCTGTTTTGGCTCCTTCATTATCGCCTTCGTACAGCTCCTACGGATTATGCTCGAGTACCTCGATCGAAAGTAAGTTATACTTGCATGAACTTTGTATCTATAGAAATATTAACTCTTAAACTGCTGTGTTTGATTCCAAAGTACTAAGCAGATCCAACAGACGAATCGAGTTGTTCGTGTGGTGCTTCTCACTGTCAAATGTTGTCTTTGGTGCTTCGAGAAGTGCATTAAGTTCCTGTCCAAGAATGCCTACATCTTGATCGCGATGAAAGGTAGTTCGTTCTGTACAGCGTCAGCACGGTCCTTCAAGCTGATCTTCAAGAACATGGCTCGCGTGGCAGTGGTGAATTCTATCAGCTTTTTCTTGCTTTTCCTCATCAAGATGACCGTCACTCTCGCGGTTGGACTTGTAGTCTTCGCGTTGCTTTCCAAGTCATCATCACTCTCCTTATCAGCAGAACAACTGTCCCTCTTGGGAGGTGCAACTGTAACTTCGCCATTAGCACCGGCTGTTGTAGCGTGTGTGCTCGCGTGGCTGGTGGCTTCTGCCTTTGTCAACGTCTACGATACTGCTATCGACACTATTCTGCTATGCTTCTGCGAAGACACGGAACTCCATGGCGAGACTGCAAGTGAGTTTATGAGTAAGGAACTGCAGCATATCATGGGTGGAAGTGTACCGTCGATAGGAGACAAGAACCAGTTGATCCACGTATCTTCTAAAGGGGAGGGGAAGAATTCTAGCCCAACGAAACGACAGAGCATTCCTGACGAAGAGACTGCCATCGAGAGAATGGACGACATAGATATTTAATTCGAGCATCTTAGCTGTGAGGTACTAAGGTTGAATAGGCACAAACCGCCACCTTCTTTCGCCATGTTTTCGTGTGCTTATCGCGTTGCTGCTGCTCGAGTCTGTCGAGCTCGTCACGACGTTGGGTTTGCCTGACTCGGTTTTCTAGACGCACTCGAGCAAGCCAGGCGTTGTAAGCCTGTTGATTATCAACTTCGGTGTGCTCGCAAGGCAGGTGCTGCATGTTGTTGGGTTTAGCATTGGGCGCTTTTCGGGTGGATGCCTTCTTTGTTTTTGGGTTGACATGCAAAGACGGTGGCTTGCACCACGGCTTAGGCTAAGCCGTAGACAGGGTTAGAAAGCAGCCGCAACATATCGAAGCTACTAGCTGCAGTGCACACCTGAAACCTTCTATCGGCATTGGTTATCTTCTTCTGCTGCTTCTTGCTGGACTGCTTTCGACGGAGCCAATCTTGGAAGGCGGCGTCGATTTCTATTTGTTTGTCCTGGTTATCGTCGTCGTGGTTTTTAACGTGAGACTGCTCAACTTGGTTCTTTTCCTTCAGCCAGAGGCGGTACGGCTTGGACTTGCGGATCTACAGCAAGAGTTAGATCTGGGAACAACTTCAAGGTCGTCGACCTAGGGATCAAACGAGCCTTAAGGATTTGTTGTCGACATGCATCCTCCACGTCCACGGGCTTGTACTTCTCTTGCCAGTGCCACGTCATTGTCGTCGGTATATTATTTGTTTGGGACCGCTTTGCTAAATGTGGCACGCAACCACATCGAGGTTGATGTCAACCGCGGAAGTAGCCATTTCTATGAATGTATCTTACCCCTGCCCTACCGTAAGCTAAAAAATCCACAGCCAATCGCTGGACAGCATGTACATTTATTTGCTCAAACCACCCAATCACCGCTATTTTTTTATTTAGGGGTAGGGGTAGTTTATTCCAGCTTATTTTCGGAATTGTCCGGCATTCTCAAAATTTCGAGATAAGACACTTTAGTAAAATCAAGTCAAAGCATATATTATCGCGTAAAAGGCGTCTGTACCAGAAAAGAATTCCACGCGGCTGCAGAGTAAATATAGACTAAAAATTGACGATGAGGGGCCATTCAACCGACCAGCTTGCATTACGCGCGGGATTCACACCGCAGGAGGCAATGAGGAGAGCTTCGCGAGGTCTGGACACCCTCGCTGGCACAAAAGGGCAAGAGATTGCGGCGAAGAAAATGGTTGAGGAGTTCCTCACTTCACTAAAATTATCGAACGTCGATTTAGATGACATACATTGAGCTCATATTGAATTAGCTAGTCTCCCGACCCAGAACATGTACTCATCGCTAACAGGTTTTTCTATTTACATACAGACGCAGAAAAGCAACAAGGCGAGAGCGGCGGATGGACTACTAGCAAAATCGACAGCGCTAGGGTATTTTTCACAAGTTGTGAACATGCTTCGCGAGCGCTACACCAGCTCACTTGGTGACTCTAAGAGAGTTGCCAAGATTCGGGACAAAATGGCTAGTTATATAGAAGAGAGAAATTTGCGCTAATGTGCAAACCAATGACGCTCCTGGGTGTAACGTGGATGATCTAAATGTACTCGTTGGGTATCTAATTGCGAAAGCTGACGTGGCTACCGGTTTGAAGTCTGTACATGATGCGGCTCTATTGACTATGATGTGGTATACATTTGGGAGAGCTGTCGATACCTGTTTTGCACGTAAGCAACAGCTCTCGGTTTCAGCTTCTGGTGAGCTTTTCCTACACATTGCCCGGATCAAAACCTCTATGGCTCAAGGCGTCTCAATATATAAGGCCCCGGAGGGATGGCAGTAGTGTATGCTTCACGCTTTCGGGTTGCTGTTTATATGCTACGACGAATCCTCCGAATATTTGTTTCCGCTGGCACCTAACTTCGCAGAGTCCGACCTTCCTGGTAACAAACCGTATTCACAAGAGGAAGCTGTTTTATACTGGGGGCAACTATTAGAAGACGATACCAGCACGTCAGAGCCGCCCCAAAAGCGAGAGAGGAAGAGACCAAATATCGCAAGCTATATTTCCGAGGTCATTAGAGATTCGCTGAAGTCGATGCCTCCTGCCCTCAGCCAAACGGTGACGCCGAATATGACCAGCCACCCCATACGCCGTGAAGTCGCTGCGTACGCCTATATGTCACCGAAGCTGTCGATTCAGTGAATTTCTACTCGCGGAGATTGGCTGTTGGAGTCACTAACCAATGCGTTTGCCTACATTGAAACGACAACAAAGGAGGATCAGAGCGTAGCCAAAGTGTTAGCAGGGTAGACCTACCTGTGGTAACGCCGACAATTCGTGACCTGCAGCAGCGTTTGACGGTACTGGAGTTTGGTCAGCTTGTAACCCTTCAACACGAGCTGTACCGCCACGTACTTGGTTATCCAGGACGCCCGATTTAGTGTCGCATTGGATGTCGCTGATTGCACGTTTGCATCGCTGCTAATGCACATGGATGAGGTTCGCATCGACATCGAAAACACTACCAGCACTTCGGTCCCGTCGCGCTACATGTACGAGCTGCATCGCGGTATCGCCTCTTCCAACGCTCGTCTTGGCTCCTGCATCACGATACGAACATGCTGTGAGTGGGGGGGCGTACCTGAGAGTTCACAGGAAGACGGCAAACCACACGCAGGTTAGCAATGCTGCCGCTGGTAGCGACACGCTGCTATCATCCACTCATAACAACATGTTAGCCCAGCTTGTGAACATCAGCGAGCGACTTGGTCGCCTTAAAGACTCGCAAGCCCAGATGCACAGCCAAGCCTTAGGGAGTACTCAGACGCATCAGCAGCCGCCACAGCTACCTACTGCTGTTGAGGTTGCCGTCCCAGCTTCAGCGTCAGCGTCCACCCTTGCTGGATGCCTGCTCAACTGGTACACTAACCACATATGGCAAACGGATAAAGAAAAGAAGGAACAAAATCAGCGTGCCGAAGCAAAGGCAGCAGTGAAAATAATGATGGTACTGTACTAGAAGCCATACCAAGTCCCAGAGGAGCCTCCACGAGCTGACGTCGCAGCTTACAAGGCCTGGAAGCACGTAGTCTAGAAGCTAGCCCTCAAGCTGGATACAGCCGCGAACCAGCGTCTCCACGCCTTCGACCAAAAGAAACCAACTCGCAAAGCTTCGTCCCTTCGCAAGCGCTGGCGCCTGCTGCGTACGTCGCATCTTGAAGCGTATCGCTCGCTTGGAGCACAGTATTTTGTCTTAAAATTTAGTGGTTCCCACGTAGATGCCTGCACACCTCCATCACATCTGTGGGCAGCAGTTGACTTGGATTAACAAGCCGTTGGGCAGCACAGTACATTAAACATAAGCACGAGCAAACAGCACTCACCAGCATCAACACCATTAAACGACAGCTGACCACTGTAGACAGTTTAGCAATCAGTACAGCCTACATTACAAAGCATCACACACCACACACAATGCACAAAACATGTTACAGCACACAGTACACAGCATAGCAGCACATGCACAGCACGACGCAACACTGCAGCATACGCACAACACACAGCACAACACGCCCAATCCAGCATCCACGAGCAAATGCACATCACATCATGTACATACGTATACCACATCACACGCGTCGCTCCCTAGCACACCACACAGCACCAGCTATTGCAAACACACCACAGCGTAAAACACAAACACATCCCACACAGTACAGCTTACAACTATCTGTCCCCGGCTGGATTCGAACCAGCGGCCTGGAGACGTAGTCTCCCGCTCTACCGCTGAGCTACGGGGGCGTTGGTGTTGGAGAAGGCACGCACCGTGGTCTGGAGCTGGAGCTGTGGCTGGAGGCTTGAGGGGTACGCCTGAAAATCGCTAAATAAACAGCGAAGAAGACTGTCGCAAGGTAGCCACCTATTTGCAATTCATTGAATTGCAATTTAAGCCTATCCACTGTCATCCGGAAAAAATAATCCGACCGTGATTGGCCGGATTCCATCCGGCATGACTCAGCCATTCCGTATGGCGACCATCCGGACTGGTGTCCGGAATCTGCCATTTACTGCCGGAGCATAAGTTTGTGTGATACACACAATAAATCCTTGCTAAAAATAAACTTCATATTTGTAAGTTCGAAATCGTTTATAACAAAGAGACTACTGCTATTGGTTGCCAAGTTAATCGAACAAATTAATTGATTACTTGTGTTATGTTATTAGATACACTCTTGGAGCTCCTTGAGGACGTTGTAGGACACCAGGTTAGGAGACAAGATAGGCATATTTTTGCCTTCATGGCCACAAAAGCTTCTTTTTTTTCAACAGCGTTGTCACAACAGTGCAGCAAACTTTTGGTTATCCTATCCGTGCCGAACATATTACGGGCCACTTTTTGATAAACTTGTTTTTTGTATGGAGGCTATTCCTTTTCTGTAACGGGGTACATAGCCCTAAATGTACCCCTACCTTCATGAAGTGTGACACGTCACACTTCAGAGGTATGACATGTCATACTTCGGGATATTTTGTACAAGGTACCAAGGTCCATCGCCGACCATTGGCTGATGACATTGCTTTTCTATAGGTGACTTATAGTTTGTATTAAACGCAAGCTTTTTCTACCTATAAATATACTCAGTTTACAATCTACTTTAAATTGGTCTCTTCGCTCCCTTTCAGTAAAAGGGGACCTGTGAGCTACCGTTCACTGAGCGTTTGTATACTCTTGGAGGCCAACTTCCTCTAGCGCAAGGTGCTGTGTGACCTCGTCACACTAATCACACCAACAACAGGTACGTACATTCTGGATGTGAATATGATTCTATGCGCCTAACCACATCACTCGTCGCCATGGCGTTGACTTGAGTCAGCGTGGGGAGCTCTAAAATATATTTTGAAGCTGGAGATGGAGCTTGATGAACGCGTGGAAATGTTGCATTTTCTGCAGTCGGCAGCTGAATTGGAGTATGCATCTCGAGTTAATGTTCTAGGGTCACGGCACTATCACGGCGCCGATGAGATGCTACTTCGATTGGCAGCATTGGTGAGCCCACATGCATTTGCGCTGGTCCGAAAGGAATACGAACTGTATAAGAACGGCTCTTTGTACTACGAGGGCAAGTGGTTGCAAAATTCAATCGTCCGTCTGAAGTCGCACACAATGGATTGCGAATATACTGTAGATGTTTCGGTACGTGAACACGCGGTAGTACGTTGGTTTCAATCCAAATTACTGACGATAGTTTGTACTTTATGAAGACTTACACGTGCTCATAACTCTTCATGCGGACTATGTTGCTTCCGTGTCACCACACGATGTTTGTACGGGCATCGATGGATAAGAAGAAGGTGATTTCAGCTAACTGCATTCATAGTCGATGGTTATTGCAGTCCGAAGCAAATCGCTCGGAGGAGGATGAGTCAGATGACGATATTTCTAGTGCCACATTCCGCCTACAACTTTCGCACATGCGATCAGTGGAGCATGCTGTTCTTAATGGGTCCACGAAGTGGAAGACTGGCATGGATATTGCTGGTGGTGTCGTGAAGGCGATGAACTCTCAAGGAGCTCGACCCTTCGTCAAGGTGGCAGAAGCTTTGCGTGAATTTGGAGAATGTGTGAGGTGGGGTTGCGTCCCGAAGATTGTGTCGTCTGAGAACGCTTCGACTTCGACTGGAATGAACAATCCTGATGTATATGATGCAGAAGATGATCTTACAGACGGTCCAAATTGTCCGTCGACAAGGGGGGGCAACGCAGACAGTAGAATGCAGTGCGGGTGACGAAGGAGGTGAGCTAATTGCTGAGACGGGCCGATTACTTTGTGAAACACGCATGCAATTTTCGCACACCAAGGATAATGAACCAGTCGGCAGCCTTGCCACCAAAGCCGTCGGCAAAGAAAAGAAGTAGTACAGCCTCGCCATCAAAGCGGCAGTGAAAGCGAGCTCCAATTCGGAATCGATTTCTGAGGAGGACGGCTGCCAGTCAAGTTTGGATGAGTCTGATAAGGTCACCAACCAGTTGGTGAAGGAGAGTAACCAGTTGGGGCAAGACGCCAACCAGTTGGGAAATACGACCAACCAGTTAGTTGTTCGTAAATAGCGAGCAACCGCCACTGATGAGAGTGATGTTGAGAGCAGCGACAGCTACAGCCATGAAAAGGCACAGGACAGTTTGTCATCAGCACTGCTGTGTAAAGCTAGGGACGACCTAAAAATGCGTCGAAAACAAGTTCGAGAAGCAAAGCGACTTCGAATGCGCGACTCAATTACCCAAACTAACGAACTAGTTCAAGGGATACTGGTCCCTGTAAAGGATCTGTCGCTTGTTCGGACAACAATGGAGCAGAGCTTTAATGTGGCTGACGCTTTACCAGTCCTGAGCAGTATTACGCCCGAAGATTCCCCTTTGTGGGCGGTGACGTCGATCGTTCTCCTCGCGAGAAAGCAGAAGATTCATCACAAAGTCAGGATTGTCTTCCCGAAGAGTTATGTCCGGAAGTGTATTGCAGGAATCAATACCTATTGAAAGTCGCTACCGAAGGAGCATCACGAAACTTTGTACATTTGCAGAGGAAGATCTGAAAACGATGCATGTGTGGCACGAAATCTATCCAAAGCTGGTTGCCGTTAGTGATCTTGCAGAGTGGATTAGAGAGCTAAAGTTCATTCGGATTTCGCTACCTAGTCCGCACAACAACTGTACTAACGTGGATTTGAAGGCTTGCGCGAAGCGTTGGAAATCAATTATCTTTAACAAGCTTATCGTCGCGCGGCTCGGACAAACGCAAGCACATGAACTACTGGGCTGGAAAAGTACTTGATTACGAGAAATGAAAAGCGCTGCTATTTGATCCCATGCAGGCGATGACCAACTACAAGGAAAGCTTATAATTCTAGACAAGTATTTCTTAGAATACGTAGAGAACCTCAACCTAGTTCACCAACGAGCACCCCGTCAGGAAGATACGAATAGTTGCGGTCCTCTGAAACTGTTTTTCTTTGAATGTGCTGTGCGTGGTATCCCGGCTCCCAAGGTGTCCAGGGAACAAGTCGAGTATCTTCCCTTTCGCTACTTCTTCTTCACTCACAAGAGAGTATTCTGCAGAAACTCAGACTCGATGCATAACTGCGCGTAATATATCGTCGTCTTAATTGAATTCGTGGGAAGCTCATGTCATATTCATGCAAGGCCTGCGTCGGCTGTGGTGTCGGGGCTTTTGGCAGACAAGGAGTCTAGAGGAGTACATACGGCTAGAACGGACGATTGCACAGTATCTTGGCAAGCAAGAAATAGCATCCCTTGTTCGTGAGTATGTGCCGTGCTGTTGGTAGCACTCCCGGCTACCACAGTACCGGCTCACTCATACACTGATTGACACGAGATTTTTGCTAAGTCGTCTCCACATTTATACAGCATTTGTGCAACCGGTCCCAGAATCTCTACGAACCGCCTCATTCGTAGAAAAAATCAGATCGTACTAAGCAACATATATTCCGTCTCTACTGGTTTTAGTACGTACTTAGCAGGATTAAATTACGAGCCACTAACCAACATCTGGGAGCGGTTGGTGATACTACGTAGTACGTAGTAGTTGGTGATGATTGATGTATCGGCTATGCAATCTGGCTACTACAGTCACACCTCCTTATTTGAACCTCTACAACTGACCACTAGCTCTTAACTTGAATGTAGTATCTCAAAGCAAACGAGACTATATGAGGTTCATTATACCAGTCCCTCTAATTGACTAATACCCTCTCTATTCGCTAAATGACAGTCAATTCCGGAGGTAAACTCTCTATCTGAACAGGTGACCCATCCTTCTCACTCTGAAATTCCAGCTGAATCCCGTCAATATTCCTTTTATAATTCCCGCTCGCACCATGACATCGCCAGGGGGGAAAAGGAAAGAAACGCGATAAAGCTCGTATCACAATAGCATTCTGTTGTAATGCAACGGGTACGCACAAGTTAGACCCGGTCGTGATTGGCACAGTAGAAAACCCACGCTGTTTATTGGCGGGGGTGCTCGTGCGCTAAAAGGCAAGGCTGTTCAATACTACAATAGCAAAAAAACATGGATGACAGCCCGAATATTCTCCGAGTGGGTACAAAGTTTTCAACTTAAAGGTGGCTGTTCAAAATCGCAAGGTCCTGCTGTTGATTGACAATGCCTCGAGTCACAAGATTACCCGGTCATATTCAAATATCGAGGTACGATTTCTTCCTTCTAATCTAACGTCGTCTGTCCAGCCTTTGGATCAGGGTGAGTTATATGAATCTGTGTAGTTACAGTACAACCAAGATGATGACCCACCTGTACCTACATCGACAGCCCTTGCTTATTGCGTGGAGCTTTCAACATTTCTGTTTCAGTGCGAGGGGGACACTAAAGACCAGCAGAGCATGCTGCAATCTTTGACAAAGCTAGTGCGAACGCAAGTGGTGAAGCGTAGGTGACAGCGGACACTCGATAGTTACTTTCAGCAAGATGGCTACATGTAGCCACTTCTCTATGTGACCAATTCTATAAATGAAAAGACATTTTTATCCGAACCAATCGGGCTCATTTATGGAGGTGTGACTGTAACATTGCTAAAAATTAATTCAAATCATATTTCTAAAAAAATGAAAAAAATTAATACAGTAGTAATATTTTACTTTGATTTTCTTTCAAAATATTCAAAATTAGCAGCTGTCTTTGTATAAAACCGCTCCCGCCAGCACCGAGGTTTTTTTAGCTCTAGTAAACTTCCAGATAGTCAGTGTCGATTCTTTAAGACTACCTGGAAGCAATTATAGCTCTCTCCCCCCATTCCGCCACTGACAGAGCTTCTTTTCCAATCGACCAATACCGTAGCGGAAGGTAGGTTCATGCCCAATGAGAGCGAAGCGTCTTTTTCCGCCTATGACAAGCTCCGTTCACTCACGTACGTATGTGGCCATGTTCACCATGCTCTTGATGCGCAGTACCCCAGCACTTAAGCCATGTCCAACGACGGAGACGCCAACGCCAGCAACGCCAACCTGCAGATGCAGCTGCAGCTCCAGAACCAGCGCGCTCAAATGCAACAGCAACAGCTCGCGCTCCACGCTTTCTGGCAGCACCAGATCCAGGACATTTCGCAGATCGACCCCAACGCCTTCGACTTTAAGACGCACCAGCTGCCGCTAGCACGTATCAAGAAGATCATGAAGACGGACGAAGACGTGCGTATGATCAGTGCTGAGGCGCCTGTGCTCTTCGCTAAGGCCTGCGAGATGTTCATCCTCGAGCTCAGTCTGCGAGCCTGGATCCACACGGAGGAGAACAAGCGTCGTACTCTGCAGCGGAACGATATCGCCATGGCCATCACCAAGACCGACGTCTTCGATTTCCTCATCGACATCGTCCCGCGTGACGATATCAAGCCCGCGAAAAAGGTATCGACTTTTCTGGAGAATAAAACCGAGTTTACTTGGTCTAATGATGTTGCTCAACTGCTTTTTAGGGCCCTGTGGATGCACAGGCTGTGTACCAGCAACAACTTCAGCAGCAACAAGCGGCCATGCTTCAGCAGCTCTTGCAGACCCAACAGAACGGCGGTGCGGCTGGAAACGTGGCGTGGCCCAACCAACAACTGCAACAGCAGATGATTCAGCAGTACCAGCGTATGCAGCAGAGCGCGGCGGCGGCTGCCGGTGGAGCAACCACACCGTCGAACGGCGCGCTGCCCAACTTGTCCCCGTCGGGCAGCGATGCGGCCGGCCAGAGCTCAGCCAACACGACGCCTGGGGGGAACAACTCGTCTGCGGACCAGCTCTCGCTGAATCAGCGCAGCGTGGATGTATAATTGCTTTATTGCGGTACAGTACGGATGGGGGCTGACGACAATCTTGGCATGTTTTTAATGAATGAGCAAGTTAACTTCATAATGCCCTTTGATGATCCGACTTTATCATTGTCCTTCGAAGTACGCCAGTATTCTTTGGCAAGCGTCATTTATTGCTCACTCCTCCTCGTCTTCCACTGCTTTCGTTCTCCCTCAACTGTAATCTATAGCGTCTACTCGTCTACTCGTAGTTTATATGTAAGGCAACGATAAAGCACAATAGTGCGGCTTAATCGGCCGTTTTTACTGTAAGTGGCAATGGTAGCATTTTGGACTGCTTTTCGGAGATCTTGAGTAGCTGATACGCAGCCACTCCACCGATCTGTAGCAACAAACAACTTTATCAGAAAATCTATACAGACACAAATGTGGAATATGGCGCAGAGCGTACCGCAAGGGCCATGCCCAGAATCGACTGGAAGGTGACTGGATTGCCAAAGTACAAGACGGCGCTGAGAATGATGACCACGCGCTTCATCGTACTCATAATGGAGAACGTGAGCTCCGAGACTTCTCCCAGCACCCACGACGAGCAGAAACTACCCACGAAGTGCATCATACTGCACATCAAGACTTTGCCGAACGGAAAACTGGCCACAAAGTTGTCCTGGTGAGCTCGAGCGGCCATCAGCACGAAAGGCGCGTTGATGGCAAAAGACACAAAGGCGCTGTAAAAGTGAAGCTAAAAAAAAAATTAGTACTAGAATAAAAAATAAAGACTTTATCAAACGCACTTACATTGACCGTATCAACAACGATCCGGCGGCGTAATAAGAACTTGGCATACATGCTCTGCATGACACCCAACAACGCTGATGTCACGGCAAATACTACACCTGAGAATGCCAGATCCTATATAAGAATTCATTTATAAAAATGTCAGATTGTCCTGAGCAGCAATAGATAATAATGAGATAAGCGATCCACGTACGTTCATGCCCATTTCGGATACGGATGCTAATACGACGCCGAAGACGATGGGAACAAGACTCGAGTACGTGGCGACGGAGAACCGCGAGCGGTAGGCTAAGTAGGCCAGCACCACGTTGAAGAGGGGCTGCGATGCCTTACATGTCTGCGTGATGGACACGGGCACAGCGTTGTAGCTCCAGTACGTGAGCATCTTGGCAAGGACCGAGAAGAGGCTGAGAGGTATGATCCACATGATACTGCGCATACGAGCTCGCTGCATGCGCCAGGCCCCAGAATTCGTCGGCGAGCTCGGGAACGTCAGCACCACAACTGCCATAGTACACACAGATTCATCACTACATTACACAGCAATTTCCAGTGTTATTTGAGGCTCGTACAGTCAAAGATAATGCTGATGAAGAGATGACACATCGTGAGCATCTCGGCCGACACGTGGTGCTCCTTGATCAGCACCTTATTGGTGAAGGTGGCGGACGCGGAGAAGAAGTACCATACACACAGACTCACGCCGATCTAACGTTTCAGGCATGAGGTTAGTAGAGATTCTGGGGAGTGTGTCAGCTGCGACAACGAGGCTCACCCGCAGCGACTTATTGTCTCTGAGACGACTGATGGCGTGGCCCTTGGAGGGCTTATACTCCTTGGCGGGTACGCCCATGCCGCCCTCCAGATCGTACATAGGGTACGGGGCCTTCATGCGTGTCTGTAGCATATCCGCCACTTGAGCCGTCGACTGCTACTTCACGAGTGGGTGAGCAAGTATAGCAGCTTTTCAGCGGGGGTGGCTTTGGACTGGCTGCTTGGACAAGCGGCTATTCTATGGAACGATGGTGTGCGTCACACAGCTGTCGTTAAAACGCCAAAAAATGGCGAAAGGATGTCGGAGATCAGCTCAGCATGGAGGACGCTGAGCTAGGCGCGTTGGCTCTGTGTGGAATGAAGCCACGGGATTGCGTAGAGAAGAATAATTGATGCATAGATTATGCAGCATAATGATGCGAGAATTTTTTGGTAAATGTTGCCTGTACTGCTGTGGCTCAATTGCGGATAGCTACACTTCCACTGCAACTTGTAGGTTTAGTTTACAGCCAGGGCCTGGCAGCGGGAATGTCGTTTAGGAAATCATAGGGACAGACACAATAACGACAGCCTTATTATTGATCTGCGTCCTTTGGGGCATCCTTTAGACTGTCTTACTATTATTATCGACCAAGCATGAAGTGGAACGATGGCTTGACCGATCACAATGATGACTTGGAGGAGGGGAAGGAACAGGATAATACTACGGTACGAAAGCGAAAGAGACTTTGGCTCTTTGCGCTGCTCTCAGCAATTGTTTGTAGGAAGTCGAGATCCAAGTATCAGACCCGGTTTGTAACCCGATAGAAACGGCAATTGACGAAGTGACGGAAAGAGTCGATGAAGCCGAGACTGCGCTTCCCGATGGAGAATCCATTACCGAGTCGCTAGGTGAACCAGCTGTGGAAGCCGAGTCTGGACTTGTTGTACCTCGTCAAGAGAAATCTAGACAGCAAAAACAGCGGCGAGGTCCGAAGAACCACTTTGGTCAGGGTGAAGGAAACGACGTGGAGATCGCAAGTCTGACGAAGAAGTTGCATCAGGCAAAGAAAATCAACGCTGAGTTGCATACCCAACTCCAGAGATTCTACACGAACGATGTCGTTATTCAGGTACGATGGCAACTGACAATAAAGCACAAGGTAAATACACTTACGTTGTTTCTTTCAAGCAGCTAGAAAATCTCGTGAAAGAGAAACGAAAGAGAATCGAGGAGCTGCTACAAGAGAACAGAACACTGAAGAACTCGGAACGCTTGTTGACAAGAAAAATTGAAGACATTCATAACTCAAAGGTTGATTTTACAAGTGACTGTTCTTGTTACACTCTAGAAAACGTGCTAACTGTCGTCATTCATCTTAGGACGATTTCCCTTCCAAGAAGCGTGCACTACAAGAGGAGTTGCGCGTCTGTAAGGAGAGAATTAAACAGCTGAAGGAACAGAATCGAGTAGCCGATGAGAAAAGTCTCAAACTGCACCAACAGAGCTTTGATCTGGCAGTCAAAAACAAGGGACTAAGCGAGAAACTTCGCTTGCTTGAAGGCACGTCATGTGTGTTACTACCAACCCCCTCCAGTGGTTGTTTAAAAACAGGAGCTCCAATTGGTGGCCCTTCAGTTAAAGAGGTTCAGACCATTCTCACCAGCCAGGAAGAAGAGATCACGCGGCTGCACCAGCGAGCTGCGTTGATGAAGAAACGCCACAAGGCCGAACAAGCCAAGTACGAACGATTGCTGAAGACTAGTCAAGACGAAATTGACAGCACTCGCTTTGAAATGGAGCAGTTTTACTTGCAAATATTTGCTAAAGAGCGTGCAGCTCGAGTGCAGCTCTTGCACATGAAGAAGCTTAAACATGCGTTGCATGAGCTAGCGAACATGCAGCAAACCAACCAGCGATTCCAGCCATTCCTCGCAAATCGAGAAATGCGAATTATGAATCGGAGCAACAATAATAATGCTCGTCACCACCAAGCGGGGCCTCAGTCTTCACAAAAAGGACCAGTGATAAAGGCTGGTCGATGGATCACTGAAGCACTGCACCACCTTGGATTTGTGATGCCTGCCACCTCCCAACTGGATGAACTAAGCAACTCGTCGGCTGAAAATGTTCCTGAAGAGCAAGTCAACATTCCGGACAATTGCATCCAAGGAAGATTGGTTCCGGTCCCGCCTTCTGCAACTAGATTTGCAGTAGGTACAAGCAGTGCCCGATCCCAGCTCTACAACGGCTCGAATGACAGCACGAGAAAAAACGGTGATATCAGTGACGTGAGCGAAGAATCCAACGGCGAGGACGGTGAAGAGGACCAAGTCACGACAGTAACACCCGCGAGTACGAACGCTACAGCGCAGGTGCCTCATGTGCCAGAAAATCCCGAGCGAAGGACTATCCTGACAAATTAGCTACGAAACCAAAGTGTACATGCACGTATCTTGAGAAGATTTTTTTTTCACGCCATCGCAACAAATGAAACTGCTCCGCGTCTTCTAGAACTTGGAGGATGACCTCCAAGTTGGAGGTTGGAGTCCAACCCTCTCCACCGGTACGCATAGAGAAAACGGACGACGACTTTTAGAAACTCCAACGGCTCCTGCTTCGTTGTGGTGGACTGTAATCGCAGCTATCTTGGTCGTAGTCGTCATTGGCAAAACAACCAAAACTGCTCGAGGGAGCGCAACGTATCACCATTTCCGATTTAGCTTCGGCAATTCCACTTCCTCCAAGCAGTACACGAGCGCTCCACAATGACTCACGTAGAGATTGACTCCGCTCGGTTCCGCAAGGAACTGCTCTTTGTCTGCTTCAAGAGCGACGACGCCTCTATCGACCGTGTGCGACAGCTGCATGAGTACGTTGCTATCAGTACATAACTTCATTTTGACGTGTTGAGTTGCCGTGTATTCTAACATATCCATCTGCCTAACCAGAGTGCTCCCGAGCCCCACGGACAAGGTGCTGTCACCTGTGAGTCGAGCTCTCCGAGCACGCTCTTTCCAAGGACCTAATCGGATGTCTGCTGCTTGAGCTAGAGAGAACTCGCAATGCGCTCCTCTCAATTAGAGGGCAATGAGATAGAATTCCGGCATTACCATGAAGATGCTACGATAGATCACCACAGCCCGTCGCAATAACAAAATATCAACCGTTTGTGAACGTCTATCATAAACTTCAACATCTTTTCCAAAAATGTAGCAACTCGAATATCCACCAATCACAAGATAAAGAGAAAACTTCTTGAAGCAAATCCACAATTTCACCATGAGTTCCACACTCGACGTGAAGCTTAACCGCATTGACCGCATCTTCCACCCTCACGTACGCGTCTGCTGTCTTATAAAAACGCTCCATAATGTTTATAACCTAGACGTACCCTTCAAACAGGAGATCGTGCAGGGCCAGGTGATCATCTCGTCGCCCAAAGGTTTCTCCCACCAGGGATTAGCCATGAAGGTGGAGGGTAGCGCTCGTATGCAATTATCCACAAAGGGCGCAGGGCTCTTTGAGTCCTTCTACAATAACGTGGCTCATCTGGAGCTAGTGTACTTTCACCTCCCCGTGGCTCCAGCAGGCAAGGTCCCTCCAGGTATCACCAAATTCCCCTTCGAGTTCGAACTACAGGGAAACGATGGCCAAGAGCTACTGGAGACGTACCATGGGGTGTACGTTTCAGTTAAATACGAGATCGTGTGTGACTGTATCCGAGGTATTATGAAGAACAAACTGCACAAGACACTGGAATTTGTGGTGGAAATACCGGTGAGTATTAGAGGGAGTTTTGCCGGATCAGGCAATATTATTTTACGTAGACTGTGGTGGAATTTTAGCTGAGAGAGCCACTACTGGACTCGCCTGAAGAGTTTCATATCACACCGGAGTCTCTGGAGAATGTGCGACCGGTGAGTGTTAAGGTGGAGAAAAATGTGTAGTCGCACGTGGAGCTCTAATATTTTTATTGTTGGCAGCAGAGTTTGTCAGCGATGCCGTATTTCCATATCACGGGCAAGGTCCATCGCACAAACTGCCCAGTGAACTTACCGTTCACCGGCGAGGTACTAGGTTTGTTGTTGGACAGGCTATCGTGTTTGAACTTACTGTGTCTCGTATTGTTGGTGGTAGATAATAATTGAGGAAGCCAAGAGTCCGATCAAGTCGGTAGAATTGCAGCTGATTCGAGTGGAAAGTGTGGCTCACGCTGATGGAGTTGTAAGAGATGGTAAGACTTAATGAGGTTGAAATGCGGTGTGCCTAAAGAATTAACTGATGTGTTTGTGTTTGTAGCAACCGAAATTCAAAATGTCCAGATTGGGTGGGGGGACGTGTGTCGGCAAATGGCGATCCCTATCTACATGATCTTCCCACGTTTGTTCACGTGTCCGACAATGCTAACCCCTGGTGAGCTCCTGAAATGTAAACCGCAAACTGGTAGAATAAGCTGAGCATTTTTGTCTGGTGCCACTCAGCCTTCAAGGTTGAATTCGAGACCAACATCGTGGTTCTGTTTGAAAACGGAAACATGATTACGGAGAACTTCCCCATTACTTTATATCGGTAGACACACAAGAATATCTCGCAATGTAGTGCAAGAATCGGTTGTGAAGGCTCAAACTACATGTCTTTTTATTAATAACTCCGTGTCTAAAAGTCTCGTGACACTATCAGTTTATCGTTAATTTCACTACCAGAGTTCTGCTTCTTGCTTCGACCCATATTGTAGCAGAGAAAAAGTTGGGACTCGACTGATTGCACAGCTTTAGTGTGCATTGGCAAAGTTGTGCTTAATTTTTCTTACTTTGAGGGTGACAAAGAGCATCAATATTTCTAGCGCAGTGTTTCGGAATTCGACGCTCATTTGTTGCGCTTGAAGATTTTGCTAACCAGTAAAGTGAAAACCTCCGAGGGCATGATCGTCACCTGCGCGATCTCCTCAGAAAGCTTCTTGTACGTGTCGTCCTCATATTGGTGGTAAGCAGTGGCAAGGTCAAGCTCATTATACAGCTTCTTAACGACTGCGATGGCATCGGGGTCGTTGCGGCCGTAGTGTTTCTTCAGCGTCTCCCTCTGCTCGGGCGTCGCACGGTCAAGCGCCTGAACAACCAGCCAGCTGCACTTGTTGTCCTGAATGTCGGTTCCTACCTTGCCGATCACCTTTTCGTCGCCGTAGCAGTCAAGGAAATCGTCCTGGATCTGGAAATATTCACCAATTTGGACGCAGATGTTCTTCGCGAGGCTGTGTGAAGCCTCGTCGACAACTCCATTCAGGAACATGGCGCAAGCAGCTGAGAGATAAAACGTGTAATACGCCGTCTTGTTGATCACAATCTGGCGGTATCTACATAAATAAAAATCATAAAAAACATCAGCACTTGCAGAGCTCAACACTCTGACACTAGAAGTAATACCTTACCGCTCAACGGTGAAGCGGTCCAGATACACCTCACCGTCCAATGGCTGCGACGTCAGATCCAGAAGCTGTCCGATCTCCGTGTGAAAAACAACCTGAAGGCAACAGAATTGATAACCAATTCGTGTCATACGTGACAACTGTGTGGATATGAAATTTCTACTTACGTCGTGGAAGGTTTCTACCAGATCCACGTAGTAAGGTTCCGAGCGAAAGTGCTTTTTTAGGATCTGGAACACGAACGCCTCGAGCAGAAACGCGTCGTTAATGGCAATCATCTTGACGTTGGGCTTGCGGTACCAGCACGGTTGGCCACGACGAGTGATGGACTCGTCCATGATGTCGTCGGCAATTAGGAAGAACGCTTGCAGCTGATCAACACGAAAGACGCTAAGTCAGCCCCTACGATAATTCCTTTTATCAATCTGACAGTTTGCAACACGCACCCACTCAATGCACCATCCCAGAACGCTGGCCTTCTCCTTGAGCTCGGGGGTGAGTTCCTTGCCTGGTGCCATTGCTTGCGTACTGCACTCCACATCAACAATCAGTATCTTGTCAATACACGCGGTGAATTTATTGCTGCCCACCAGTGCACGACGCTGATACCGCGGTTGAGTTTGCCACCGATGCAGTTGTACTCAACGACCTCGTCCACCCAGTCGAGAGCATCCTGGGGAAGCTGGAGCTTGGTGCGCAGTAGCTCCAGCACCTCAAGCTTGAGCTTCCCGCACACAGCGATAAATTCTGCGCAATACAAACACAATATGTTAAAGGGGAAATAGAGTGCGTAATTGCAGCGTTGGGCACCTTCAGCTCAAAGGCTCATCAATTGGTAAGCTTACCTTCGCGCTCCTGAGCCATGACGATTATTAAATCCGATGACGATCGGCAAATGGCAACAATGCAACAAATTGCCTTTCTCGCTTAAGTGCGAGCATCATAAGTACGAGGACACGAAACGACGCTAAGTATGTAGCCATGTCCGATTCTCGTATCGATCATGGCAAGCAAGAAGCCTGAACGACGACAACTTAATAATGACAGCCCCAGTCGAGTGGAAGCAGTTAGTGAGAAGCACGTAGTGCGTGAAACTCAGCAACGACCTGTGCGGGCGCAGCCCATGCGAGGACCCAATGCGATTTCTGGTTCTGTAGGACAGGTTGGCTGGAAGGACTCCGAGCAAACCAACAGTATCACGTCGCAAACGGAGCAGCAGGCGAAGATGAAGGAGCGTATCTGCACTCAGCTGCTTATCGACGGATACGTGCAATCGTACGTTGATATGTTCTACCTTACGCATCGCAGCGAACCCCAGTTTACAGAAGGTGGAAGCGCACCTACTGGGATGGCGAAAAATGGCGCCTTTGGTGTACTCGAAATAGCAGAGATGGAGTTCTTACGTGATCAATTGGTGGCAGCCGAGCATTGTAAGCGACGCGGCGAGATCCCAGATGTGATGGCTGCTTACGACAGTCTAGCAACGTATTGCACCGAGAAGCAAGATATCAAGACCATGATCTTCTTCTTTGAAAAGTGTCTCGAGATTGCAAGACTTGTCAAGGACCAGATCAGCGAAATGCGCTTATTGAGTCAGATTGGTTGTGGATACCACACTGCCGGCGATTTGGAACAGGCTCGCCAATATCTGGAGCTTTGTGTAGCCATTGCCAAGGTTGTGTACGAGCACGACGACGATGAAGTGCTCCGTGGCGAATCGTATGAACAGTTAGGTAAAGTATACGGCGACTTAGCGTTGCGTCACGAGCAAGCACAGCACTTTCAGGAGGCCATTGATCTGTATAAGCTCTGTCTAGATTGCGCAGTTAAGGCTCACAACCCTGAGGCACAAGCTCACTCGCAATTTAAGCTTGGCACATGCTACAACGCCCTCAATGAGCCGGCCAAGGGACTTCCCTTCCTGGAAACTAATGTTAGTTGCAGCTAGCATTTTTACATCGTGACGGCAACTTACACGTATTTGTCGATGTCTGTATAGCTTGCAGTAGCACGTCAAATTGGAGACACAGAGGGAGAGGGTAATGCCTGTGCGGCATTGGCAACAGCCCACGAGAAGCTCGGAAACCAGCAACTGTCGATTGACTTTCTGAATCAGTACGTGGCTATCGCTACGAGGGCTGAGAACATCGTCAACCAGGCCGATGCTTGTGCGCGCCTTGGTCAGATTTATACCGCTTCCCAGAATTTCCATCGTGCTCGAGAGATGCACGACAAAAACTACGAGCTCATTCAAGCTGTAGCAGCTCGTTCCGGTGACCGATTGCAACATAATGTCTCCCGAGTGAGTGTTGGTGCTGCTCGGGCAAATGACAAACTGGAGACGTTGCTCGGTCTCGTAAAAGACGATTTCCACGGTCTCTTGGCCTGGAAGAACACGCGGACAGTGCCCACAACCGAGTAAAATACCGCAGCGCGATAGCAATACAACAACTAACTTTACGCTGCCAAATTTTCGAAAGCTTGTTGCCTATATGTCATCTTACTCGCCTAACGTAGGCGGATCCACAATGCTCACTCGGAGGAGACGGCCGTCTAATTCCTGACCGTTCATCTCACTCGTCGCCTCCAGCGCCTCGTCGAAAGTCGAATACACCAGGGACGCCCATAGATGCATGGAAGAATGATCAGGCGTCACCAGCATGGCCTCCTCTAACGTTCCGTAGTTCGCAAACACCTGCCGCAACCGGGTCTCGTCGGTCTTCCAGTGTAAACCTGCGGTCAGAGACATAAGTATCGATTAAAGCATGGATGCATTAGGCTTTCCGCATCAAAATGAGTTCCTACCGATAACGGAGACGTGCGTAGACAACATCCGATAGCTAGATGAAGCCAAAGATGGCATCTGGCCGCTCTGGCGCAGCGTCCGCAGCGCCAATACTCCCGTTCGCATTGCCATTGCTCACTTTTTGCATTGAAAAGCAGCGATTCGTGTGTTCTTATATAGAGACAGCTCTCTACAAAATCGCATCTCACACAAATCGCGACGCAGCAAAGGAAGAATCCCGCTTCAAGTGTCTCGCCTGCGCTGCACAGGGCGTCTGGACACTCCTTACTGCTTTATATCTCCTCCATATACCCATATCTCCATTTAAGTTATCATTTTGCGGTCGAGAAGCCGCAAGAATCGCACTTAAATGGCTCAAGTAGCGGGCGATAAAGTGATGACGGAGCTATCGACCGTGACGCCTCCAGGAAGCAGTGGAGGCGATGCCCGTCCGCGTCATCGCTCTTCGGCCAGTCGGCAGAGTGTGCTGCCTGTGCTTCAGTTCTGGAAGGCTTTCGATCTCGACAGTAAGCGCGTGTTGCTGGACTCGCAGGGCAGCACTATGAAGAGCGAGAAAGATGCGAGCGTTCGCTCCCGAAAGAAGCTAGCAGAAATGACGAAGCAGTTCCGACGTCTAGCGACTGACACTGACAAGGCATCAGGAGCGGGGCCACTTCTCAAGGCCTACCAGGAGGAAATTGACAACTTGACACGTCGAGCCAAATTCTCTGAGAGCGCCTTCTTCCAGCTGTACAAAGGCCTTTACGCTGCCCCTGACCCTGCTCCAGCTTTAGCAGCGGTCGCTTCAAGTTCAGGAACCGACGATTTAGCTGAAGAGAACAAGAAATTGAAGCGAGAGCTCAAGGAGTTCGAGGTCGAGTTCGCTTCATTAAAGAACCAGGACATCACTATTCGGAAATTGGAGGAGCAAGTCGCTAGTGCTGCGAGGGAACGGGAGGATGCACTGCATCAGCAAGTGGAGAAACGTACACGAGAGCTAGAAGATCAGCTGGAGAACGCTCGACTGGAGTGGGCACAGCAACGCCGCGACTACGAACGCCAACTGGAAGCTTCTCGTGCTGAGCTGCGTGAGGCGTTTGCCAAGATGGATGCGATGCAGTCCGATCTGTTTGCACACAAACAACGCTCGGGGCTAGCTCGCAATGCTTTTGATGCCGAGATGGAGGCTATCTCGCAGGACTCATTGTTGTCACAGACGCTGCAGTTGGAGAATGCTCAGCTCAAGAAACAGTTGGAAGAGCTGCTTAGTGCATCGACGTCTTCGGAGATCTTCGATGCCCGATCGTCAGCTCTTCCTAGCGATGATAAAGGCAGCGAAAGCTTGCAGTCGGTTAGTGAGATGCAGGCGGAACAAGACGCTGTCGTCGCTGCGTTGCGTCAAGAAGTTTTCCGTCTGAAAGAGACTCATGCGACTGCGAGTGTTGCTGCGACAGAGGAAGCCAAGCGACTGAAATTTGCGCTAGAGAATGCCCAACAAGCTCAGAAAGACCTTGAAGCGCAGCTGGCATCGCGTCCAACTATCGAGAAATTCCACGAAGTGACGAGGAAACTGCGAGTTTTGCAGCAATTGGAGTACAATATCGTCGATGAGGACGAGGAAAGGAGCAAAACTTCCTCAACCGACGCAGCAGAGAACAACGAAGCTGTAGATGGTCTGGAAGCGGCTACAGTTGAGGTGGAACAGATCCTCGTGTCTCGTGTACGTCGTCTAGAACACTCGTTGCAAGAATGTGAGCGGACGCTTCAATCGCGGACAACACAATTGCAACAAGCTCAAGGCGAACTGCGCGACCGTGATGGTAAAATTCGAGAACAAGCGACTTTAATTCGGAACCTTGAGGAGAATGTGGCGGCATTGGAAAAGGCTCGACGAAACCGCACGGCGGGCGTGATTGGTGGGGACATTGGCTCCGAGATCCTCCTGGATGCCATGGAAGACCAATTCACTGGAACCTCTGGGTCCTCACGTGGTCATGCGGTAGCAACAACAGACAGCTCAACCTCGATCGTGGCCACTTCGTCGGACAGTAAAATGCTGGAGATTGTTCGTGGACAGCGTGATCGCTTCCGTGAACGTATGAAAGAGTTGCAAGCCGAGAAGAACCGTGTAGAAGAGCTTGCGCAGTCGTACAAGAACACAGTGGCGCGTCTCGAGACCGACAACATGCAACTGTATCACAAGATCCGCTATCTGCAGAGCTACGGTGGTGACAAGTCTGGACGTGCACGCATCAAGCCCAACTTTTCTGCACTGGAAGATGGCAGTGCAGGTGCATACGACGTTGAAGCACGCTACCGCAGTATGTACGAAGAGAAGATGAATCCGTTCGTGCAATTCAATAAGATGGAGAACCAGCAACGCTTTACGAATCTCAACCCGGTGGATAAGATCCTACTGACAAGTGCCAAGCTGCTACTGGGCCACCGAATCACTCGCAACATGGCGTTCGGCTACATCCTGCTGCTACATTTCCTCGTGTTTGCCACGCTCTACTCGTTCATGCACGTATGCGGAGTCACAAACGACTCGTAGACAACTTGCAAACTTTTGCAAAAGAAACGTAAACATTTGCATGTGAAATGGTAAAATTGCAAGTTGAAGCGCTAAAAGTGATAATCACGTACGATTTATCTAAAATCGAGCGAATTATTACCACTGAGGCAAAAGGAAGTTTTGTAGTTTAAAACACAATCGCGATGGGAGTGTGGCAGACTGCGGCGAAGGTGGCGCTGTGGCTGCCCGTGGGCGTGTCAGTGAACGCACTGGGCGTAAGTTGGGCGAGCGTGAAGGGCCGCTCAATGCAGCCAGCGCTCAACGACGGGCTGACGCAGGACAATGTGCGCGACCGTGTGTTGCTAGACAAATTTTCGGTGCATTTTCGATATCGATATCGACGCGGCGACGTGGTGGTGCTCGAGTCGCCTGAGGCGGCGGGCGAGTTTATGATCAAGAGGCTTACTGCGCTGGAAGGAGATGTCGTCATGGACCGCAGCGGAAACTACTGTACGGTGCCCGTGGGCAGGTGCTGGGTGGAGGGCGACAACCCCACCTTCAGTGTCGATAGCAACTCGTTCGGCCCCGTCCCGCTCGCGCTTATCGACTCGCGCGTCATGGCCGTGGTGTGGCCGCCAAGCGAGATGAAGATAGTTCAGCCTAAGCTGTCGGACCGCGTCAACAACGTACCGGTATGATAAGGGGCAGAGGACTGTTTAGAGTTGCTTTGGGGTAATGCGGTGGATGCGAAGCTTCGTTCGATGTTTCTCAAAGGGTGGCATAGATGTTTGTTGTGACTGAGTGGTCATCGAGTTCAGACACTTCACCGCACACTGGAATTTGGTACAGATGTGCCTCTGTCTTAGGATTGAGAAGTTGTTCGTAGCCTACGAATCGTTGGTCAGAATGCAACGTCGGACACAGATGAAACGCTCAGCAGCTGACAAGCTACTGGAATCGTGCGCTCTCTTGCAGCTCAATGTCAACTTTAGATATAATACTTCTGGCTTCAATAGTCAAAGCATTTAGCACAGCACGCCTTGCATTGCAATAAAATGGAAATTTAAGTCATGAAATGTGCTGATGAAAAAAATATCTTATCGATGTGGTGCAATTGTGCAAGTGAGCACCGACACCTTAGCTACATGAATTCTTTGTAAATACACATCGAACAGTCTATAATACAGGACAGACGTCGCCAGTAGGGGCGCCGATAGATAAAGGAAATGCCTGTCACGAGACAGGAGGCTGTAGCCTTAGTTGCAAAACCGGCGGATGCGAGCCGAGTCCGACTGGTTGATGAGCGCATTGGTCTTGCAGTCGATGGAGCAGAATCCGTCGGCAGGAGCGAGCGCCTTTTGGAACGACTGCGTGCAGTTGTGGCACTTGCTCGTCTCCGAGTGGATGGCCGTGTCATAGTGCGAAGTGCGGTTCTCGATGGCGATCTCTTCGCTCAGGATGTAGAACGCGCTGCGACCCGATCCCTTCCAGGGTTTTAGCGTCACGTAGCCATAGTCCACGAGGCGCATGAAGAGCGCAGCACAGCCGGTGCGGTTGGACATGATGCCAGCGTCCATAAGCCAGCTCACAGCCTCGGACTGTACGAAGTACTGGTACTGGACCTTGGAGCGTTTGTCACGTGAGGTTTGGGCCAGCACATCCACCGCACGGAAGATAAGCTCCTCCTCAACGTCACCCAGCTGCTCATTGTCCGACGACTCGCTGGACGCAGCAGCAGACTCAAGCCCAGATAGCGAGTCCGTCGAGTCGGACGTAGCCAGCGTGGACTCGGCCAGCGCGTGACAGTGCGTGCACACGCGTACACGGCCTTTGTAGCCGAGTTCTGGTAGCCGGACGGAGAAGGGCGAGCACTCACCGCAGACGAGTTCTCCGCAAGCGCGGCAGTGGTGACGACGGCGCGTCCAAATGGAGAACTCGTTCCCGCAGCACAGACACGAGTCGCTGTCGGTGTCGGGGCGCCACTGGGGCGGACTGCCGCTCTCCTTGTTAACGTCACGTAGTGCCAGAGGCGAGTCGCAAGCAGTCACCGATACACCCATACTCGAAGACGATGTTGATATTGAAGTGCTTCCCGCTCGTTCTCTGGTCGACGTGCTCAACACAAGGAGAATCCGAAAGTGAACCGCACACCTCGAGCGGAACCCGAAGTTTTGGACGAGCAACGACAGACGGGACGTTCGACAAGTGGCCCTGTCCCTGTCGCCCGCACATCACCGCACATCACAAAGGATAAATGAAATAATTTACCAAATACTAACTTTAAAGTTTGTACTTAATATCGCTCAATCATCCAATTATCACACGATAAAATAACAGGATCCTTCGAACTTTTGTTTCAAGTCTACTTGATCAGCCGCACCCTGATCATTGTCCATGCCGTCAGAAACCAATGTATACCAGTGGCTTTCGATACGTAGCTATCGCTGCTTACATTAGCCTACCCGGCTACCTCGGCGATTTACTGCACTGAATCGGATTTCTGAAGGAAGTGGAGGGCTGCGGTTCATTTCGCAGGCATCTTTAAGGATTTGCGGCCTTCTCCTCCGAGAGAGAGGTTAGAAATTACAAGTATAACTGCATCTATTTAATACGTGGCATTTTGCAGCGACCCACTTGTTGGCGACTATATAATAGCGACTAGCGTCGAAGTGCTGCTGTTTCGACTGCGAAGCAACGGTGTTGTACGCCATGGCTCTCTAACTCTGGCCAGGCTCAGTTCTCGGAGGTTGTGGGGTATGTAGGCACAACTTGTGCCTACAAACCACAACTTGTGCCTACAAACCGGAGGGAATTCTCGCTCAAACTGATTCCTTCTCGCGTGACAAACTAGCCAGACGAGAAGAGAACAACTTGCTCTCCAGCCGGTTTGAAATCAGACATTTCGCTACGTGAGTGCTTTTCACCCAGCTCGCCCTTGCAACTTGCAAGGGTAAGTTGCAAGCTTGGTCTCGGGGCCCGATGTGTCTACAGGAGGTCCACAATTGATAATACCCATGACGAAGCAGTGGTATTGACTAAATACCACTGCAGGCATCTCGCCTGGATTGATTGAGGAACCGTCGTTTCTGCAGTCAAACGACCAAGCAGCTTCAGTTCGCAATGCCGGCGCCGCTGGGACACCGCCTTGAAGAAGAACTTCACATCGGGGCAGAATTGTTCCGAGGCAATATTGTCGCCGTGCCGTGCCGGCAACTTCACCATGGCTATCCACGGTGGATTCCACCGTAGTTTCACATCGCTCGGTGCTGCTTCAAGCATCGCCTGCTGAAAAAGACGGCCATCTGCTCAAGTTGAGCCTCAACGGCACAACACCGTCTCTCTTTGTAGGCAGCACCTTGACTCAGAAACACAACAGTCCGCTCGGTCGTGAAAGTATCGTCATACAGTGAGTGGGGTGTTGCAATTTAGTAACGAGTTGCTACTACATGTACTAGTACTAGCAACACTTGCTACATGGAATACATGCAGCAGCCTGCAATACATGTAGCGGAGGAATTTCCTCAGGAAGCTGTACATTGCGCATCGAGCCTTAGAGTTGGCCGGTCGCCACCTGTACGCGAGGAAGCCCACGAAGCTGAGCGGGTCCGCTCGGCTTGTCTGCTGCAGCTCCTCCTCCTGCTCCTGGAGTCGCTGGACGAGTGCTTCACCGACATAGAGCACAAGAGACGGCGGGCGGCGCGAATTATGCATTCTTTTTGTAGGCTTGATTATCGGTACAGTTCAACACTTCATCGATTCAAAGCCTGCACACGAGCCCGTGATAATGTAACAAACACTCGCTCGAAATCGTGATGAGCTGTGCAACAAAATGTTACACGTAGTATATTTTATTAAAAATTGAATTTTTATCTTCGCTGGCAAAGAAGTTCTTAAAAAAAGCAACACAAAGTCAAAGCATGCCTCGACAATGGAGGCTTCAACTTGGAGCGATTGAACTTCAGAGCTGGTAAGGTTGCCACGGAGACAGGACCCACGCATGTCAACGCGTGTTTTGCTGCACCAACAGAAACTAGCCACTTTTGTAGTGGAGCTCACGTGTTCGCTCGTGATCACAGCACTTCGTGTAAGCTTACTGCACCGATGCCTATTAATACAGCGCTGCACAGCTCAATTCTGCATTAATGATAAAATTCCATGACGAGCGCATATCGAGCACTCCGACGACGGTTAAGTTACATGACACTGTCATTGACAAGGCTGCCGAGTCGAAGCCGACAGCGTAAGTGGGACGACACTGGTTGTCACAGCTCGTCATCGTTGCATTGGCAACGCCAGAGATTGCCAAGCGAACGACTGCCAGCCACTGACTGGTGCTGTGAAGCCACACACACCCGCGGTCTCCGCTCAGTCATCTCTATCGATTTGAAGCCGCCCCCGAAACATTGTGACGCAAGGAATGGCTGAAGAGGTGTGTCAACACCTCGAATCGATTTACCCAACAACATAAGTGGCGTGCGCTGAGCGCCACTAGCTCATGCGGCATGAGTCATGCCTTACCGAGGCATGGATGGACTGAAGCCTTGCAATACATGTACAGTACCTTACATGCAAAGGCAAATGTATAGATGGCCCCATGTTACGCTGAGAATTGGTGTTGCAATTCAACAGCTCCTATCCATCGGCGCCCTCTTCAACATGCAACAGTGTTCCGTCAGGTGTTTATCATCCCCGCTTTTGCGCAAATGGCTCCATCGCCACAGCCACCACTCAATCTCGCTTTCCCGCGCAATTGTAGCCACTTCCTGATCTTGCCGGACATGTCGCGCTGAAGCTGCTTCGACTTGATGGCTGCACTGCATCGCTCGGTCAGATTGCTATGATTGAAGTTGCCACAGAGTGATGATCATTTTACAATCTTTACAGACAATAGAGCCGAGTCCCGCACAGCACACGCTTTATGAGCGTCTTTCGCAGCGAGACCACGGGGGCACAGCCTCGGTCTTGCCCCGAATAATATTCCAGCTCGAGAAAGCCTGCTCGGTTCACGCCGCCTTCCTTGTTGTCCTCCTTTTCCCAGCGACTGGGTAGTTTCCATCCTGGAATACCTGCTTCGCCCTGCACCAACGTGAAGCTCTGGTTCAGCCAGTTCTCGCCCGGCTCCCCGATAGCCAAATCCACCAGCACCTTTGTCATCTCGCGCTCGTCGTAGACCGACAAGTTAAGTGCGTAGAACCGCTCCGGCGCCATGGGATTCATGATGTTGAGCCAGCCCAGTATATGCGAACACACCTGTTGCTCCGCTCTGGACATGGCGTCGTAGATGCCGTAGAATTTATCAATGTCGATGAGCCTCGAGAAGAGAATGCGGGCCGTCTCCGGTCGAGCGTGGAAGGATGCCGGCATACAGGCAATAATCTTGGAGGCCTGTTCGCACGAGAGCCAACGATCGCAAATTGCCGACTCGATCTGCACCAGTTTGAGCCCCACGTTCTCCTTTGTGGCCCCAGTGAGTCGAAAGGTGTACGCATGGTCTACTACGAAGCCCCAGCCACGTTTTAGGATAGAAGCACGGGTCTTGTTCCAGAATTCGGATTGCTCTTGGGATGCTGTGCGCTTCACCTTCATCCTCGATAGTCCCGTCAGCTCAGCTATTCCTTCTTCGTTTACTTCAGCATTCAAGTCTTTTCCGATTCGCTTCGGTTGTCGCTGTCCTCTCGCTCTTTGGGCTCGTGTAGGACCAAGAGAACCCAGTGCATCGGGCAGTACGACGTCCATTTGGAGCAAGTCAATTAGCTGGTCAAACCGTCGATCACTGATCTGCCTATTGCCTCGTTTCGGGCGCGTGGTACTCACGTAGTCGAAGCACAGTTTACCTCGACGAGGTAGTGAATGAAAGAAAGTATTGGTAAGCACGATACTATGGCCATCCAGTTCTTCATTGCGGAAATTCTCCCAATTGCCATGTTGGGATGTGTCAGCGCGACCTGATCGGAGCTTGGAGAAGAGTTTCTCACTCTGAGCGACTTCTGCCAGTTTATTTAATGCAATCCGGTCTTTGTGCTTGGCCAAATCGAACGAATAATGTGCTGTCGGATTCCCTAGTACAACCGAGTACGCACTGCCCATTCGAGCTTTGAGACGACACCGTTGCATCAGTGTCAACGTTCTAGCAACGAATATTTGCGCTTCTTTTGCCGTAAGCATCTGTGGCAGCAGTAACGCGATTGCCTCGATTTTCTTGCTCTCAGGTTTCAAATAATGGCAAGCATCTAGAATCTGATACGCTTGAGCTGCCGTCAGTCGGATTTCCGAATCGTACATGGCTACATGGAAGAGATCATCTTGTTCCGCTTTGGAAGTGGCTACTTCCGTAATATTTCGGATCAAAAGTTCAAGGCCAACTCGCGAGATTTTGCCCTGACGAAACGCCTCGTCGTTAGTGGCGAAAGCTTCACGATCGTAGACGAAATCGATCTCCAACTGACCGTCTTCAGGGATTATCCAGGGTTTCTGAGTCGAGGCATCTAGCAGCGAGACGAGAGGAGGTTTTTCCTCCGTGTCGTCTTCGCCTTCCTCATCTCGTCCGAGTAGTTTACTCTTGATTCGGTCCAGCAATTGGCCTTGTATGAACTCGACGAATTCGTATTCCTCCATCTCGCCATCTCCGCTGATATCGTACGTAGTGATCGCATTTTCGATTTCTTTCTCGTCATAATTGTGGATTCCCAACATCTTGAACGCTTCCTCGACTTCATCCGCGTCGATTTTACCCGATTGGTCTTCGTCAATCATCTGGAACACAGCGTGGAAGAAGAACGCACTAAATTCGCCTTCCTCGAGAAACCCCGATCTGTTGTAGTCAAATTTCTGTAACATGGAAGCTAGACTTTCCATTTCAGGAAAAAGTCCGATCTGATTTAGAACTGCCAAAAGTTCGTCTAGATCCACCGTTCCAGATTTGTCTCGATCTACATTAGAGAACAGCGCATCCAGTCCTCTGGTTTCTAGTGTAGTTTCTTCTCCATCGCTGCGGTTAGTACCCGCACCTTTATGTTGCTCAACCACCAGATTCTCCTTTTTAATCAGCGTAATTGCTCGTTTGGCAGCGGTCGGAGACTTGTACTCGATACGCAAGAATCGACATCCTTTCCGAGTTGTGGCGAGACGCACAAGCTCCATCGCTATCATTTTATCGTAAGCGTCCCGTAAATTAAGCGAATATCTGCCAGCAGGTTCTCTTGGACTGAATATTCTAGTGGATTTCGCGTTAAATACTGGCAGAGATAGCACGTTAAAGTCTGCATTGCCACGATCAAGTGACGCTGCCGAGTTTGGCCTTTGACTCGTAATTTTAGGCACAATTGCTGGTGCTGATGCACCTATGGGCATGATATTAGCGCCCAGGTTACATGCGTGCAATTCGACAGTACACCCGACCTCGGCTCGGTTCGCACAAAGTGCAGCCATGAACAACTGTCCGCCTTCTCTTCCGATGTTGTTGCCATTGAGTTGAAGAGTGCGTAAGGTGCAGTTAGAACGAATGGCATTTGCCAGCACCATCGCACCTTTCACGCCGATACTGTTGTAGGACAAATCCAGCATTTGTAAGCTCTTGTTAAAGCGCAAAGCTTCGCCAAACATCATGGCTCCAGCATCTGAACACGCGTTGTAAGCGAGTTTGAGCTCCACCAACGTACCGTTATCACGGATAGAATTTGCCAATGCAATGCTGCTCTCAAGACGCAGATAATTCCATGATAAATCGAGATGTATGAGAACCGGATTCACGTGCAGCATTTTGGCAATAGCTTCGCCGCCTGTGGTAAAATTCGGCTGGACAACGTTAAGATTTTCCGCTTTGCCAATGCAATTTCTGCTCATCCAGAGACGTTTGATCGACTGATTCTTCTCAAACGCAGTCATAAATGCTGCACACTCGTGGTCGTCGATATCAGCGTTGTCTACGTGGAGCATTTCTAAAGTGCAAGCTGGCGACACGAGATACGACTGAAGTGTTTGAGCACTTTTTGGTCCGATTTGGTTCTGGGAAATGTCCAGTCGACGGAGATTCATCGTCAAACTGCCTTCACTCACAGCTCGTAGCAACTCATTTAGACCGTCGTCGCCCAATCGATTGTCTCGTACACTGATTTCTTCCACGTAAGGTAAATCGTGCACGAGACACTTGGCAAATGCAGAAATGGAGGCATCTCCGAGCGATTGGAACGAAAAGTCAAACACTTTTGTGTTTCTGTTGCGGATGAGAAAAGGCACGACAACTTGATTTTTAGCAGCACAGGAGGCCAGGAAATGCGCTCGTGGAGATAATTTATCACGGAGTGGCAGCTCTGGGTGGTTCTCAATGGGCATTTGTAATGACGAGGCTCTGGAATTGAGTCGCGCCGGGTTCAGTTCGTCACTCACTTTTTTCATTTCCAACGAAGATGGGTACATTGGGACGAAAGTGCTCTCGGAACCAGTATGTATGTCATCTGTGTCGTCTCGTGGACGTTCAGTGTCTAGTATCGACGTTGATTCAATGGCAGAAGACACACCTACAGCAGCTTTACTGTCCATGAACAAATATGGTCGAGAGTAAAGCTGCTTGTACTGCGCGTAGAATTTCTGTTTTGCAGTCTTGCCAAAGTAGTCGCCATTACTTTGGGTAGCAAAAGCTCCTTTTTCGGATATTCGACGTAAGCGTAGAGCCCTTGCAGTCGCGTTATCTCCATTGGCATCGGCATTATGATTGACTCGCGCTTCAACTTCAGTCTCAGGAGTCTGTAAAATGTACCGTCACAAAGTCAATGAATCGGCATAAAATAATGAAACAAACCGCTGAATCTACCGTTGTAGTGAGCTTTTCGCCATTTCTTAAGACTAATTCTTGGCTGTCCTTGTCGAATTTTTCTTGTAGTGTTCTGTCATTCTCCTCCAAATAGAGGTTCAGGTTTCTCCTAGACATCAAGTCTTTATGCGACTCAGACTTCGCCAGTTTCCGTTCTCGCTTGCTTGTGAGTAGCCGCTTGGACGACATTGAGTTTTGGTGACGTAGTAATGGGATTGGGCGGGAAACTGGAGCTGCTATACTCTCGAGTTCTCGATTCTCCTCATCCGGTACCAAAGGATCATCTAGAAGCTGCATCGTTCGCAAATAGCGACGTTTACTACGGAGCGGTCGAATGTCTGCTGGGATGACTATCGGTGGGTCCATAGCCAGTGGCTCAGCAGGCATCTCCGGAAGAGGGACAGTGTCTCCGAACGTGTTACTAGTTTAAACAAGGTTAGTCTGTGTTTTATGGTAGAAATTCGTTATGACTTACCGATACCACGGCACTTTACTCTGCGTCTTTTCGCGACGACCATTGTGTACATTTAACGCATCAACTTCTTCGCTGAGAGCTGTGATGGAGCTAAGCCGGCGGAGTATCGGAGCTGTTGACACTTCTTCGTACTGCATTCGCACAAGATGGCTACACGTCGTTTGCGGAGAAGTTGAAGTTATGTGGCGTACACAAAAAACTACGATCTTGAAGCGTCGTGAAGTTCCCGATTATTAAGTTTAAGGTTCGTGGGGGGAATATGGCCACGCCCAGGACGTCGACGCTGACAGCGGACGTGGTTATGAACCGGGCTGGGGTCTATGATCTATTGGCGCTGAAAGAGGTGACGTTTTTTTGTGTGGGTCAAAGCCCTGTGTCGTGTTTGAGAATAAAATATTAATTGTACGACTAGTTGATTCTGCGAGATGAAGAATTGACAGAGGTAGATGAGACTTGCGCTCAAAGTCTGGCGTCACTGGAGATTCTGTCGCTGTCGCACAACCGCTTGACATCGCTGGACAATTTCCAGTATTTGGTCAATCTGATCGAGGTTCGCAAAATTATAACGTGAAAAAAGTTTTAAATTATGCTAACGAGATATTATGAACAGCTCAACGTGAATTTTAACCAGATCGAAAGACTCGACAGTCTACAGGTTGGAGACGGCGCAATTGAAATTATTCATTTGCCGTACGGAGAGTCTCAACCTTGAACTTTTACTCGTTGTAATATTTGCAGTGTAGTGGGCTGGAGAAATTGTTTATCGCTAACAGCCAGGTTTGAACGACGAGTTATATCGATCGAATTCATTTCTCTTACTCTTCTGTCTCGACGTTTCTAAAGGTCGTTGACATTTCTCCTCTACGCAAACTTCTCAAGCTCAACACGCTCTCGGTCTATGGAAATCGCATCACTGATCTTGACTCAGCATTGCACACCTGTCGGAGTCTACCGAGGGTACAACAAATTTGTAAACCTGTTTTTTGCCATCCTAAAGTTTAATAATTGTGCTGGCTTAGTAGCTGCAATCACTGGATCTGGGTGGGAACCCCTGTTCGCACGATGTTGTAGGGTATAAATTCCGGGTTGTGAGAGCGCTTTCGCGTCTCAAGAAGCTGGATGGGGACCACATTACTCAGCTCGACAAGGACTTGACCGAAGAGTTCTTTGCTACAATGCACAAGAGCGCACGACCGAGCATTAATGGATTTATTGGAGCTCGGCCATTTACTGCACCTGCTGCCGGAGTACGAGGAAGGTTGACAGCCTCACTGTCGGAAACTACGATCTCAAATGGTACAGTCATCAATCAATAATTTTGCCAAAATCAGGACTGACATTATTTGTATCTAGGCATCGACCCATTTGCGAGTAGCCTCATGCCTCGTGGCAATGTTCGCTTGTTTCGCGATGATTTCCTAAACAATAATCCGATTCTACTAGAATATTTGTCCCAGGACGCTGGGAGCGCTCCAGTGAATGAAGGGAATACCACGCTTTCCAGTGATGGAGAAAACTCTCTTCCAGCCACATCGGGATTCGTCGATAAGATGCGCGGTGCGAACCCATTGCCAAAGAATGACACAGAGACTAGTGACGCAGACTCGACAAGCACGGACGGTCAAAAGAAAATCAGCTTGTCTCCGAATGTGTCAACGTCGCATTTGGGCGTCGATCCCTCGGACCCCAACACTACAATCCGGAAGTTACTGAAACACATCGAAGTGCTGATGGTAAGCGTGCATGCATATAGTTGACCGTTTTCTTCTTTAGCTGATTGTAATATGGTAGGAAACACTGGACAAGTACAAAAACCATCAACTAAACGCAGTGAGTGAGTCGTTGTTGGAGGAGAACAAGCAGCTACAAACCGAAAACAACAACATCCCGATCCTTCAAGAAGAGATTCAAGACTTGAAGAAGCGGTTAGCCAGAGCTGAAGGAGATCCGGGCGGAGCTAAAGTGCAGGAAACCAAACGCGTCAAGTCGTTAGAGGTACGACATGCAGTTTTTATTCTACATGAGTCGCGATATTTCTAACCTTGCATTTATCCAAAGCAACAAAACACAAGTTTACAACGAGAAAATGCGCGACTACGAGAAATTCTACTTCGTCAAACAAAAGAGACGGAAGAATCTCTTGACGTTCTGAAATCTCCTCGAATACTTCCAGACAACGAATCATCAAAAGATCAAGATGATACGATGCTTAATCCCCGACGTTTATCTCACTCAGGAGTAAGTTCAAACTCTTTCTCTTACGGTAAAGCTCACCCGTTCTGTTGTAAGCACAGCTGCTTGATGAATCGGCGTTAGTCGACGTGGAGTTGACGGAGCTGATCCTACAGAACGAAGTCTCACTGGAGCTCATTCGAAATGTACGTCACTGAAGATCTTAAAAATAAAAGTAAGACTGACAAATAATGCCAACTAGGACATTAAAAACACGAAAAAGGAGTGGGAAGAACAATTCCAGCGGGCAAAAGCGGCGGAATCCGAGCGAGTGCGTCCTCAGACGTCTATGGGGTTCACTTCCAGTAGCAACAGACCACGAGAGAGCTTGGACAGTTCGGTCACTGTAGCGCAGAATGGAGGTACGCACACCCATATTCTTTGTGTCCTGGAAGGCGCACTGACTCTTTCCTACTGTAGCTACGCGAGATCGACGACTGCACACCTCAGCAGGGTTTCGTCATGGACCTGAGGCGCATCTGCTTGGACAAATGCCAGTACATCCTCTCACCAGCATTCGCGAGGCCAGTCGTGATGGCAGCTCGACAACCAACATCCTTACCTTATAAGCTACAATAAATTGCAGAACCACAGCCACCCCACACAAAAGATACAAGCAAGATACATTTTGTTTCACCCTCGGTCAACTTGATTGCTGTCTTCCATCGGGCCTTTCATGTCTTGCTCGGGTGTGCAAGCGTTTAGGACGTCCCGTGAGCAGCCGCATCAGGCCACGTGCCGTCCTCTAAGACCGGCCAGTTGGTGGAGTTTCGCTCATGAGTCGGTACTAAAATCTCGCGCGTACTAACATCCACTTGCGAGAGTTCTGCTCCATGACATCCACATACCAGACTCAAGTTATTCAACGAAGCAATAACCCAAAAAGCTACAGCTGTCAAGACATACCTTGCAAGGTGAAATTAAAGAGCGCAGGGGCCGACACGTCGTTCGGGAGCTGGAGATCTTTCTGCCGTAGCTCATCGAAGAACGGATGCGCCGCAGCCTCCAGCGGTTTCGCACGTCTGTAAATTATAGAGAGCATCAGATTTAAGAACCTCCAGCCAATTCGTTACAAACTTCTTTAAAAACTCACCGCTTCGGGTCGTACACCAGCATCTTGGACAGCAGGTTTATAGCTTCGGGTGGCGTTCGAGAGCGGAAGATCTTGCTCCAGGAATGAGCTTTGATCTGCGGGAACTGGAACTCCGTGTAATTCGGGTTCATAGCTTCGATCTCCTCGCGCTGCGGTGTGCCCAACACCTTGATAATTTCAACCAACTGATCCACACCGCTCTCTCCAGGGAACAAAGGCTGGCCCAGTAGCAGCTCAGCGCACACACAGCCTAGTGACCAAATGTCTATATAAATTATCACATGCAACAAAAATAAAATATAAATCGTCAGCGTATGATAAATAAAAACATAACACAGCGATAAAAAACCTACCAATCGCTGTGGTGTAGTCCGTGGCGCCGAAAATCAGCTCCGGGGCACGATAGTAGCGCGAACAGATGTACGATACGTTGGGCTCGTTCTTCTGTAGCACTTTGGCGCTTCCGAAATCACAGAGCTTTACCACGTGAGATCTGGGGTCAAGTAGCAAATTCTGTGGCTTGATATCGCGGTGACAGATGCCCATCGAGTGGATATAGGCCAGCGAGCGGCAGATCTGGTAGATGTAGAGCTTCACCAGCACGACAGACATGTACTGCTTGGCCTTCTGTAGCTGTCTGGCCACGCCATACACAGTGTCGGGGATGTACTCGAGCACGAGGTTCAGATACAACTCGTCGGGCTTCTCTCCGTTGCAATAAAAGCAGTGCTTAAGTTGCACAATGTTCACGTGGTGCAACTGCCGCATTATCTGCAACTCTCGGTTCTAATCTCGACAAAAAAATAATAACACCAAATAAGAAAATAATAATATAAGAAAGAATAAAAAAATGAAACTCACCTTGAAGCGCTTGTCTTGCAATACTTTCTTGATCGCCACGATCTCACCCGATTCCTCCACTGTGGCCTGGAACACGACGCCGAATGAGCCGTTGCCGATGATTCGTTCGGCCGAGTAATGGATCGTTTTGCCCTGTTGGTGGTAAAATACGACGATAAAGTTTAAGAAAAAATACGCAACATGTCAGGACTTTGACGGTCGTACATCTGACAGTGTGTGCATCGAGTCGCCCACGGTGATGCCTGTGCTCTCATTGCGCAGATCCTCCTTCTTCTTCGTAGTGGACGCCGTGGTCTGGACGGTCGCGATATCGTCGTCCACGCTGAGCTGGAGCGTCGGATCTTTGGACGCCGGCGGCTTGGAGTCGCTCATGGCGGCGGAACGAGAGCAGCGAAATCCACTTGGGCTCGGGAGGCTTTGATCTCTACAGACGGGAGTTTTGTAAGGAGGGCGGAAGACAATACTGAATCCAAGTCAAATGCGTTTTTATTCCGAGCGGATATAAGAGGCAAGGATTGGACAAAATGCAGACCAATCCGAAGTGTCAAACAGATGGGGTGAAACTTCAACTTGCGGATTGCAAATTTCGTTCTGCCATCTTGGCAACAATTTGTTGCATTGGCAAATGGGAAGGAGTTGAGAAAGTGGTGGTTGCAGCTAAATGTGGATGTATTGGCTGAAAGTGAGGGCAGCGCGATACATGTACACGCATGATACGCTACGTGGCGAGGGATGTTCATCGCGATTTGCGCGGTACAAACGCTCAAATTCTAAATCCATCGCCGAGATTGCCAACTTGCCACTTGCAAGTTGCCCTCATGCGAATGACCATCAAGAAAGTCAAGGGCGTCGGTGGCAATATCCTTGTTTTTCGAATCTAGTTTAATTCGCTCGTTCCTGGAGGAGTATCAATGTAATTCCCTCGTTCTGCTTGGTTGCGAAGTGATAATTCCGTTTGCGTTAAACTCGAATGCGGGAAAAATTTGGCGGTAGAACGTTCTTTGTTGGGAGAATCTGCGAAGATGCATTGCTGGCCACTATAATATCGTATTTGTGTCTGAGAACTCCGAAACGAAAGCCCCGAGCTCTTGATGGTGCTTAATCATTTGCCTGACATTTTATTTCTAGAGCCCGAAAGTGAAACTTGTTGGCAAAGTATGAAGTATCAAGCGTTATTCACGCTATTTGAAGCGCTTATGGTTTCGGAGTGAAGCACGGGATGATGCGCATGTCAGATAGCAGAGCAGCAACATGCACCAACACCTCTTGCATTCAACAGGAGAAGTCACTCATTTCTCATCGGATCTCACGATGAGCATCCACCAGACTTTGCCTTCAACCGCGCGTCGCCCCTGGTTGTTGCTAGCAGGATTATGTTCCCAGCTACTTTTTCGAGGAGATACACTTATTAGTGCACAGAAAGATTCGTGGGATCCCCATGGCAAGTTTCCGTCTCCAACGCTACTCGTTAATGCAACTACCGAGCAGTCAAACTTTTGCACACCACGTCATCTAGATTTGATGCGTAGTAAACCAGTGCCCACGAACGCTTGGTGGGGCAATCTCGTCACGTGTGATAGCACCACCAATGCTACTGGACCCATCTGGTCGAACCCGTTTGCACTCAGTGTCGAGGATTCAGGCGCGTATGGCTTCTCACTCAGCTATCCGTACCGCAACAGATTCTTCGGCGGAGTCACAGACGGCGTTGCCAAGTACTATGCGCACCCGAAGCGTAACGAAATCCAACTAACCGCTTTCGAGTTCGCGACGTCGATCCCGGATATGCAGGTTACCAATTGGACAGACTTGGGCGTCACCGTTCAGCTTCAAGCCCCGTCGTCGACCGGTACCTTGAAATCCAGCATGGTGAGCGGCATGGCGTACTTCACCGCCACGTACCAGGGTCTTACCCCCGAGATCCTTTTTGAGGCTCCCATTGCTACCATCAATGGAGCCTCGGTCAGTGTTGGAACACGCTACTCTGGGACCAAATTCAACGTCCTTGCAGTGAGCGGTCAGCAGTGGTGGATCCACGTGTACCCGACTTCATCGCAGTCAAGCGGCATCCAACTCAATCTGGCAACTAGTATGATCCTACAGGGCTTGAGCTCGTTCGACGGTGTGATCCGAGTCTCGGTCATTCTTGATTCCACACAATCCAATGCACAGGACATACACAGCAGCTGCATTGTCACGGGAGGAGATGTAGAGATCACCAGCGATTCAAAGTACGCGTTCAAGTGGAAGACCGACGGTGATTGCTCTAAAGGACTTTTCCACTACGCGTTAGACCACCACACCAAGTCTCTGACTGCTGCTAGCGTCACTGAAGTGGTTAATGCCTCGATGTATTCGGCCACAAGAGGTCTCATGAAGGGGTTTGTCACTGTGGCTTCTCCGCCTACGTGGGGTTTCTACGAGTCTCGGAACATTCCTATAACGCATTATCCACGATCTCGATTGACGAAAGCTGCAGCTTTACAGCAAGATCTGTTGACGAAGCTACGCACAGATATTCAGAGTATTTGGACTGTAGCAACGGACGGGAGCTACTACTTCACCGGTAAAATGGTGCAACAATACGCGTCGTTGTGTCTAATGGCCAATGACCCGGTGATTGTTGGCACGGACTTGTCGCTATTGCGTCGCTGCGTCACCAAATTGGAGAGTGCCATCACTCCCTATCTCGAGAATAGCTGGAAGTACAAGCTCAAATACGATGCCATCATGGGAGGCGTTGTGAGTTCCGAGGGGTTCGTGACGGGGGATATGAACGCCGACTTCGGCAACACCGTGTACAACGATCATCACTACCACTACGGCTACTGGGTGCACATGGCTTCGGTGATAAACTACTTGCACCCGACATGGACACGTCTCGGGGAGCTCAACAATATGACGCGGTTACTACTCCGTGACGTTGCCAATCCTTCTCGTGAGGACCCCTATTTCCCGAAATTCCGTGGCTTCGACTGGTTCCGAGGACACTCGTACTCGCACGGTATGACTACACTTGGAGACGGCAAGGACGAAGAGTCCACGTCCGAGGATATCAACCTCGCGTACAGCATGGCGCTGTTCGGTCAGACTACAAACCACGAACGCATGAAGGACATCGGTCGTCTCATGACCAAGATCAGTGTGCGCTCCATCCAGACGTACTTCCTGTTTGACAGCACAAACACCATCCACCCCGCAGCGTATCGCTCCCGAATGGTGCCCGGCATCTTGTTCGACAACAAGGCCGACTACGCGACGTGGTTCTCCGCCGATGAGTACATGATTCACGGCATTCAGATGCTACCGGTGACGCCAGTCACGGAATACGTGCGGACGTCGACGTTTGTCCAGGAGGAATGGGACAACATCTTGTCCAAGCTGGACATTGTGAAGAACGACGAGCTGTCCAACTCGTGGTTGTCGCTGCTGTACCTCAGCTACGCGCGGGTGAACAAGGCCAAGGCGCTGGTCAAGCTCAACCAATGCACCACCATGATGAACGGCCTCTCACGCTCCTGGGCGCTCTACATAGCTGCACAATACTAACGAAGTACTAGTCACCGGTACACGACAGCTTTGCTAACAAAATCTTAGCAATTGCTTTCTCAATTCTTTTGCCACTTCGGCGCTCTAGCCACGTTTCTTGCCAGCGCAGAGTTGCCCTGAGAGCAGTTTATTGGGATCGCGCTCTTCAAATTCCGCCAGGAAGAGCGCGCGCAACACAGCCACAAGTTCCACGCGCTCGCTCTTCTGTGTGTCAGACTCAGCTTTCCCACGAGTGTACGGAGGCGTTTCAAGACTGGCATCGATCGCTTCGACAATCGCATTGCGCACTTCCAGTAGCAGTGCAGCAGAGCGGAAGGAGCTCTGGAAAACCACCCAGTCGTTCACTCGCAGCCCAATTGTCTCGTTGCCGTCTTTGTCCTTACGTCGCAGCTGTGGCAATGGCTCCAGTGCATAGCTGAATAGACACACAGCCAAAGGTAACACAAGACTGGAGGCTGGAAGATACACCTGCGACGTGTGTAGCTTCACTGCGTACGTGAGGAAGTTACTCGCTCGGAACGTCGCCACTTTGTAGTTGATGGAACCCGGATGCATCACGACAATCCCGTGGTTACGTTCGCGAAGTACTGCGCGCTTAGGGCCATACGCCATCGGGGGCTCGGCATGTACCAAGTTCGGAGCCAAACCAGCATACAGGATCGCAGATATCGTCGCCAACTGCTGGACACTCATACGCTCGTCTTGTTCCTTCTCCGACGACGGCAAGAAGCCCAGTTGAGCCACAAGACCTCGGAACTGACGCTTGAGTTTGCTTACTTCACGTAGTCCTCGATGACTCAAGAAGTTGCTCTGACAGAAACTCTTCTCGCTAACTCCTGAGCTCTTGCCGTGCTGTACAACATAACGCCAGGCCTCGAAAGCGTTCACGTCGGTGAGTAAATCACTCGCAGCAACCGCGAAAGTCTGTCGAGCTTGTTTCATTTCACTCTGACGACCAAAAGGAGCCACAAACGGCGACTTGGTTTCCAGCACGGCCGCACAAGTACTCGCAGCGTCAAACACACCAAACAGCGCGCCCAACAAGAGCAACTTGCCGACCTTCACGTCCACAGGCAGTCGAGCCAAATGCGCACCCAGTTTCGTCAGCGCTTCGTCTTGTCGACTCAAAGCGCCAATCTCGAACAACTCTTCTAGTGCATCCTGGATACTAGCGTCGTCAGGAGGATCCAAACACGCCCGTAAGAACTCTCCACAGCCGTCTTTCTCTTCTCCACCGGCACCGAATGTCTTGATCTGCAAGCACAAAGACGTTAACGGGGCGCGACGGATCTCAGGCACAGGCTGTTCAAGCATAACGGAGCGGAAGACAGACTGCGGGAAGAGACGGAAACACGAGCCTCCACTCGTACGCCCAGCACGTCCAGCTCGCTGCTTGGCGTTGGCACGTGCGACCCAGATCTCGTCCAGCACATTCGTGCGACGCTGGGCATCGTGACTCATCTGCTTGACGCGTCCAGTATCAATCACAACCTTAACGTCATCAATAGTTAGCGACGTCTCGGCGATATTAGTCGCTGCGATTACACGAATAACACCGGGACATTGTCGGAAAATACGCTGCTGTTCCTGTGCCGACAGCGACGAGTGTAGCGGTAGAAACTCAAACTCTCGACCGTGAGGATCGTGACGCAGCAGACGACTGCCTCCGAGTATATCCAGTAGCGTCGTGATCTCTTGAAGACCGGGCAGGAACACGAGAACGGAGGCGCTTTTCTTGTCGCTCGTCGATAGAGAAAGTAGATCCGTCTCTGTCGTGATATGCTCCAGTAGCGCTTGGATGAGTTCGTAATTGACGACAGATGGATCCATGCGTTCTAACGCGAGCAATGTGGACTCGCTGTACGTCTCAGCTAACATTTGCTGGTGCTCACTTGCTTTCGTCTTCGAAGAGGAGCTCGAAGAAGTCCACGAGACCTGCTGGGAGTATGAAGTGCCTCCGCGACCAGAGATCGTAACTTGAGTCGAATTCCTGTCCGCGCTGCTTCCATCTACTGGAATGTAGGAGGAAGATTCCTCGTCGACGACAAACTGGGTCTTTTCAAGCACATCTTCGAGGTAGAATTGCTCCACTGGGAATGTGCGACCGGGGACTTCAATCATGGGACACACTGCGGCACCACCAAAGTACTTTTGGAAACTCGCAGCGTTCAGGGTAGCGCTCATAAGAATCACCTTTAGAGGCGGCAAAGTACCGCCAAACTTCCTGCGTCTAGCTGCGTTACCGTCAGCGAGAAATTGACACAGCATGGCCAACAACACGTCGCTCTGGAGATCGCGTTCGTGCACTTCATCCACAATCACGTGACTCACTTCTTGGCCTAATGTGCTTGGATCTTGCAGCTTCCGAAGCAGAATTCCAGTCGTACAGAAGAGTAGACGCGTACGTCGTGTCATGCGCGTCTCAAGGCGGATCTGGAAGCCTGTGAGCGAGTCTCCTGTGCCCATATTGACTTCACCAGCTCTTCCGAGACTCGTTCAGCCAGACTAATAGCAGCGAGTCGACGAGGCTGCGTACAAACGATCTGTCCACGTGCACCGCCAGACTCGGAAAGCAACAAATCTTCGAGTAAAAACTGCGGCACCTGCGTACTCTTGCCACAGCCAGTCTCGCCGGAGATCAGGATAACGTCGTGGTCTGCTAACATCTCGACGACTTGTGTCTTGAATGACGCAATTGGCAAAGACTCGCGCTGCTGAAGCTTTGATCGGTACGCACTTGAGCGCATTCGCTTCTGTAGCTGCTCTCGTAGCTGTTGAGACAACTGTAACGCAGCTTTGCGGTCGCTTTCGCTCTCTTCTTCTACCTCCACTTCATTCACCGCTGCTGCCGTATCAATTGTTGCCTCCTTGACCGTCGTATCTTCGTCCGACAGATCGGCATCCCAGTCGTCCACACTCCAATCCTCCAGCGTATCTTCAGTAGTCTCAGCCTCCTTCTTACCAGCTGTAGCCGAAGGCTTTGCTGGTATCTCTACGACAGCTCGCTTCTCGGCTATCTCGGCTGGAAGAGTATTGAAAATCTCAGTCAACAGCTCGTCTTGTTCATCGCGATTAGCAGCTGCTGCCGCCGCCTCATTGTCTTGCTGTTCCTTTACCCACTTCTGCCACATATCACGGTACATTGGCGGTAATACTCGATAAAGCGGTAGATCTGGTGCCAACTCGAACAATGCACTGGTAGCGACAGCATCCTTGGCGTCTGAAATCGACTCAAACCCTTGCGCTGCGTCTGTGGGATCTCTCACTGTGACTTCCTGCTTCCCACGAGTTTTGCTACTCAGTACAACCGCGTACAAGTGTCCTCCACCGGGAGCGCGAGGCAGCTTCTTGTACTGCGGCTTCTGGAATCCATTCTTGCGGCAGTGCTGCTTCAGATGATCACGCGGCGACTTCCCAGTCCACGGGGCAGCCGCAGCAGCTTGCGCTTGAGCAGCCTGAGCTGCTGCTGCTTGGACCTTTAATATGTTGCGCCCTTTCTTGTTCTTTCCTCCTTTCCCCTTCTTCCCTTTAGACGCTTCGAGGTCTGCTGCTGCCTGTGCCGCAATGAGCGCCGCTGTGTCAATAGCTGCACTCTTTTTAATCTCCTCGGCCCTCACAACGGTCGTCTCGGCCTCCTCTAGCAGCCCGAACATGCCACCATCCTCTTCATCTTCCATTAAAGCGGTCGAGGTTCCTTCTTCAGTCTTTTCCTCCAGCTGAGCCTCCTTCGTGTCCTTCGCGTCAGCCTCATCATGCTCGCTGTCTTCCATCCCTAAAGCTAACGCCAACAACTCGTCGTCTGCGTCATCCACCACGTGCTGAGACGAGGTTGAGACCTCTTCTTGTTCTGGAGGAGAGATAGGCTTCTTCTCCTCTTCCTTGTAAGTATTTTTTTCTTTCTTGGACTCCTTCTTCGACTGCTGTTGCATGGGATCTCTCCAGCCTCGAGCGAGCAATTGACGTCGTGTATCTTGCACCTGATCGTTCAGTTCTCGGGTCTTCTGCTTGTCCCCGCTTTTATTTTTCTTCTTGCTCTTACGTTCCTTCAGACGATTCAACGCCGCTACCAGCTCACTGTAGCGCTTTTCCAGCTCCTCCAGCTCGCGAGCTTCTGGCGTCACTTCGGCCTCTCGTCGAGCCATTTCCTCTTCTCTAGCTGCCGTGTTCAGCACGTATTGCTGAGTCCACGAGAGCGCTTCTGTCTGCTTGGCATCCCCTTGGGGTTTCTCCTGACTCTCCTGGTCCGTTTTGACGATTTTCACCTGTTCTACCTTCTGCTGCTGCTTGTGCTCTACCAGTTCTACCTCTTTCTCCCTCACGGAGACGTTCACCTCAGCCAGGAGCTCACCGCTCTCGTCTGTGCCTTTAACACTTAGAAGATCTGTAGGTAGAGCTCGTAGAGTGGAAGGTAGCTCGTCACTCGCGTACTGCAGCGTCAGAAAGCGTAGTGCGTCCTCCAGCGAGTTCGTGTAGGCCAGCGCCTCTTTGCTTTGGGCCAGCGATGCGCCGTAGTCATCACGCAACGAGCGTAGCGCTCGTGCCAGTTTCTTCTTCGTACGCTCCTGCAGCTGCACGTCCGCGGGATCCGACGACGTGGCTAGTACGCCTGGGCGGAAGAGCGCGCGCTGAGTTCGTCGACGGGATTGGAGGACGCCATCGTGCACCAGTTGCTCTAGATCCCGGCGGAACTCGAATCCACGGTCTGGTGGCGTTGTTGCCATTTGGGATTGACTGGTAAACCCCTCGGTAGTCATACAATCATTTTCTTAAAGATTAACGTATTACCATTTGAAAAGCAACTTAAGAAAATTTTATACAGGAAGTATCCTGCTCAGCAGTAGTGTAGCTTTTATTTTTCGAAAAGTTAGTTACAGAAACACAACCGACCAGCCAATTGCTTGTGTCCAAATCGTAAGAGGTTTTCGACAGCTGTGAGGTTTGAACTCACGCGGGTTTCCCCAATGGATTTCAAGTCCATCGCCTTAACCACTCGGCCAAGCTGTCTGCACAAAATGCTTCAAATAAAAGTTTTAATCATATAAAATTAACTAATAAGCGTCACACAGCAAAGAGGATTTTTGACTTGAGAGAGCTTACAAAATCTCAGTGAACGGCAGCAGTACTCATCAAGCGGCTGATTTTGCCGTATTTTCTTGCTCTATGGCAAAGCTGAAGCATGTTGGATGCCACTCGGCATGTGACGGGGTCTCACAGCACCTTGCGCTCGAGGAAGTTGGCTTCCGAGAGTTTACAAACTCTCAGTGAGCAGTAGCTCACAGGGTTCTTTTGTCGAAGAGAGCGAAGTGACCAGTTTAAGGTAAGCAGCTAGCTGAATGTATTTATAGGTAGGCTAAGCTTTAGTTACATATGCAAACTATAAGTCATCTGTAGTAAAGCTATGTCATCGGCCAATAATTGGCCTGGTACCATTACCAGGTATCCCGAAGTGTTGATGTGTCATTCCTTCATGTAACCAGGGGTACAGTTGGGCTACGTACCCCGTTATATCCTCCCCCACTTAGGTTCGGTTTACGGACCAATCAGAATAAGGAAGTGTACGTCACAAACTCTCATTATCAATTTGAAATACATCGACTTGGCTGTGATAGCGCGGCGGAGGCTCCCTCCACAGCTAACGGCTCGAGCAGCACGTAAGCGCTCTTTTTCTCGGTCTCCACTTCGACCATTAGCATGCCCCGTGGCACTGCGAAGAGCGGTGTGAAAGCACACTATAAGGCTTCTGCCGGAAAGGCGCAAATCAATACCACTACGCCTCGCGGCAAAAGCTCTGCACTCCAGAAGGCTACTAAGGTGGCCGCGGAGGCGATCGGTTCACCGAGTGACGCGGCTGCGATCAAGAGTGCAAGCATGCGCCGAAGTCCTACAGCTTCGGTCTCTCCAGACAACCGGCCGAACCCGCGGTTCGTTGGCCATGAGTTCGCTTCGGGTAGTGAGGACGAAGACGAGGCCGACAGCAATCACAATGCTCCTGTGGGCTCCGTGGGAGGTCACACTCCAGTTCCCAGCGAGCACGACGATGACAGCGTGCACTTGCTCGCTAGTGATCACGATGATCAGAGTCCCAAGACGCCTGTGTGCTCTGAGAGTGCTGCCGTCAAGGCTAGGGCCCTCTCAAAGCTGGCGCCGACGAGAAAGAGAAACCTTCTCTTGCTCGCCGAGGGCCTTGCGCGTTCTAAGGCTGATAAGACCACAGCCGAAGACATTAACCCTCTAAGAAGAGCACGGCTTCCAAGTCTCCACTCCGTGAGGAAAAGAAGACTGGTTACTCTTATCGGAACCTCTTTGGATCCTCGGATGAAGAGAGCCAGGAGGAAGAAGAGATGACCATCTATGAACCCCGGGAAACACCAACGATCTCGACCACCAGCACGTGTACCTTCAAGCTTCTCAGCGCATGTGTGGGGATTCGATGACGCCATCCGTCAGACAGGGAACTGCAATCAATTCAAGAGTCTTTTGACATCCCGAGGAGTGCTCTGGGGCTGACCTCTTTCTGGAGATTCTCGTCGCTCCTCGTGGGCTTGTAGGTGGCCACACTTCTAAAGGCGTTTACGAATGTGCCCTGATCCAGAAGGAGCAGTTGTTTGCCGACAACTTGGAGACAGCCCGGTGTGTGCTTCTTGCCCCACACCGAATCCCTCTCAAGGACTTCACGACCTGTCGTAAGAATCCCGAGAACCGGACCCTCTTTAAGGCTACCCCCGGGTTCTTCACAATAACTGTCCCAGCTGGAGCTTGTGTGAGGACATGATCTGGGCGCGGGTCGAGTCTCTCAAGTACTCACCCTCAGAGTCACGGGAACTCTATGACAATCAGCAGATGTCCCGCATCCTGGACCAGCCTATTATTCGGGTCCGGTTTGCCCACTTGGTCAGCAAGCGCATGCTGCCGTGGAGGTTCACTAGACCCCACCAGGTAATAGAGGAGGCCCCTTCAACTCATTTCGGTGGAGCCTAGAGGGCTGTCGCGACGAAAGCCAGTCGAGCTTTGCGCTCGTTCCTGCTGCTAGAAACTTGACGATAGGCGCGACAGCCTCACCGTACCGATACGCCACTCATATCCGATCATATAGATCCGTTGTCACCCGTGTGGTGGCCAGCTCGTAGTCTGGACGCCGATAGAGGGCATCCGCAAGCACGTTGAGCTTGCTTGGCTTGTACTCGACGCGAAAGCTGTACACCGCAAAGAAGGACAGCCACCTCGCCTTCCGTTGGAAGAGGTGAGGCGAATTCGTCGCCGTCTTCAAGGATGCGTGGTCTGTATCGATCACAAAGGGTCTACAGCCGAGAAGATGTACCCGACACTTCACGAGGGCGTACTTCATTGCCAGGAGCTCCTAGTCGTGAACAGGGTAGTTCCGCTCGGCAGCATTGAGCTGCCTGGACTAAAACAAGATGACTCGCTCGTGTCCAGCTGCATCGGCCTTCAGCAATGCACAACCGATTGCATTGTCGGAGGCATCGCAGACGACGCTGAACGGCTTCGTACCGTCTGGCAGGGTCAAAACCGGAGCCTCTTGGAGACTGTCGTTGATGTTGTCAAAGGTGTCCTGGTGGCCTCGCTCCCAGCGCCAGTAGGTGTCCTTCTAAAGGAGACCCGACAAGGGTTTAGCGAGGCCCGCGTACCCTGCGCTGTACTTATGAAGGTAGTTGGCCAAGATCAAACCATTTCGAAGATCCCTCTGGGATCGGGGCGGCGCCAATGCTGCAATGTCCTTGAACTTGTCTGGGTCAGCTCGAACGCCGACGTTGCTGACGAAGCAACCGAGAGCCTTGATCTCCGGTGACGCGAAGACGCACTTGTCGATGTTGCCGTAGAGCTTGTTAGCTTTCATCACGTCCAACACTCGACGGAGCTGTACCTCCTTGGGCTTCTTGCCTCCCTCGGCACGACTATGGACGAAGATGTCGTCGAAGTACGTTTGTATGAAGGCACGCACTGGCCTGAACAGTTAAGTCACCCGGCGGTTGAATGTTGCCGGGGCGGTAGACGAGACCTCCAGCACGACGATTCAGTCCCAAAGCATACCGCTTGGAGTGCTCACCGCGATGAGCAGGATGCCGCTCTCGCGCATTAGGATGTGGTAATATCAGTCTACCAAATCCAGCGCACTGTACAGCACGCATCTGGTCATGTTGTTCGACAGCACATCCTTTCGAAAGATTGGTGTCTGGGCCGGCACCGTCGCGTTGTTCAGCTTGTTTTAAGCGTGCGCTAGACGCCACTTCCCGTTCGGCTTCCACACGCACGCTTCCTGTGTGGGTAACATAGTGCCACACGGTCGCCCAGACCTTTACTGAAGAGGAAGGCATCGATCAAACTTTCTGTGTGGGTAGCATCAAACTTTCTGTGTGGGTAGCACTGTGCCACACGAGGTCGCCTAGACCATAACTGAAGAGGAAGACGCGGGGTGCGCTTCCTATGTGGGTAACATAGCTCCCCACGAAGCCTCGAGTGCCTCGGACGTCGACATCACGTCATACCCAGACGTGGGTAACTAAGCTCCACGTTACGGTCGCCGTCGACGACGACGCTGCCGCCGCCGCAAGTCGGATCTGAACCTCGTTCAGATCGACGTCACTTCAAGCAACTCGGAGTCCAGGGCCAGGGCTCCTCCAACACGGCCGGTGGAAGAGTTTTATCACATCTTCGATGGCGAGACTGGTTTACCCATCAAGGCATCTGGTGTCCACTTGGAACCCTTACCAGAGGTTGCAGAGATACTGAACCTTGAGAAATGACGGTCGCTTCTTTCCTGGCCCACCTCAAGGCTAGGGAGGTTGCCGAGATGGTGCTCATAAGACCTGAGGCCACTCGGGAAGAATTGAACCTCTCCTCAGTCTTGGACGTGGACGCCCTCGAAAAGTTGAAGAAGTAGCGTCAAGCGCTTGGGTTCTGATATCCCCATAGAACCCCAAGGATCCCGTATATCCTTTGGTGACGGAGTATGCGGACGTGGTGAGCAAGCACCCACCGACTCAACCCTCACCAGATCAAGACGTACGGCATGACATCGATATCGATTTTGAGCCTGGAACAAAGTACTGCGTTACGAGACGATGGCCTCTTCCGCGCGAACAATGCGAGATCATCGATGCCTTCTTTGCTGCGAAAGCGAAGGCAGGCACCTTGAACACGCTATTATCAGCGATTGTGACAGCTGCAGCTGTCTGCGGAACTATGTTACCCGCTCGTGAACCTAAGTTACCTACATGGACAGCGCCTCCTAGCGCCACCACCATCGATGCGTCCACAGAGTCGTCTTATACGTCGACGACTCTCTGACATCTGCCGGATGCTTCGGTACCTTGTTAGCTCTTGCGGCCGCCCCGGGCTCTGACAGAAGTGGGAGCATGACTCACCAATGCTCTGTTGGACCTCGCAGGGTCGCTGGCACCGATTTGATTGCCTCGCCAGTCGATTCAGGGCTCGTGCTTCTCGAGACAGGGCATACCCAGCCGTAGGGATCCATGTCGAGACAATACATTCTTCTGGGCTGTCGAAGCCTTCGGACTTGACAGCGCGATCCATTTGGATGTTGGAGACAGTGACGACCTCCCCATCGGCCAGTCGTACTGACACCGTCCCTTTGCCTTTGCTTTCTCTCATAGCATCGAACAATTTGCTGCTATTACGAGCAACCGTCTGGCGGCGTGCAAAGTTCTTCAACGCCCCAGAATCGATCAAGATTCTAACGGGGTGATCGTAATCCCGTACACATCCGTGTACTACAAGCAGCCCGCCACTGCCCGTCGCCGATTTGAGAGTGCGAAGACGCTCAGGGGCTAAGTATAGTGGTATACACCACGCGCGTACCTCTCACGAAGACTTAGTTCTTTCCCAGTAGGGTGACCCGCCCCTACTAGTCTCCGGCGCTCCCCTGACCCCGGGATCCTGGCTTCTTCCAGTAACCCTGGAGGGCGGGCTTAGGGAAAGTCCGCCTGGGGTGTCTCTCCGCGATGCGCGCTTGAAGTGGCTCAGCTTCCCGCAGCCGAAGCAGCGAATGTCGCGCTACTCGGCGGACCCTTGTTCCACGGAAACCGGTCCGGTGGGGTTGGCCCGGCCCGGATTCGACACAGAATTCCCTGTCCACACTGTGTAGCGAGCTTACACGCAAGTGTCTACACAAAGCCACTTGGTTACGAAGGAGATTTTTCACGTTGGTGTGAGATATACCAGTGGTAACATTTGGCAGACTATTGGTCTGCATGCCATAGGGCATTCATTGGTTGAAAGTCAACATCTTCAACCAATTATAATTGAAGGATTCTGTCAGCCATTCGTTGGCAAATACCTTTCATTTAGAATATTAAATTAGGAGGAAACCCAAACAAAACAAAAATATAGTTCTCATTTTTACCGGAAATCGACTTTGTAAATGCTTCAGTAAATCTATCTTTCGGACGAAAGTAGAATTAATCTAAGTCATACGCGTCGTACGCTTTCTCAAACACGTGTGGTAGCGTGTACGCCGAAGTAGTGGGCACTGAATAGGCCCATTACACACTAATGTGGGCGTACGCGCCTGAAGATGGCTATATTCTTCTTAAAGAGCCACTTAAATTGCCTCTTCCAGGGTACTTGACTGCACCCAGAACAGCTGAGTGCGCGCCGGTCCGCCGTCTATGAGCACAGCACCTTAATGTGTTCGCTGAGTGGGGTTCCCACTAGGGTCGCCGTGAGCTCCCGCATCGCTTGGATGTACTCGTGCAGCTCGCGCCTTCTTCGCCGACGTGAGAGGAAGCGCAAAAACTGCCGATACTCGTAGCTCGCCGGGAGGAACGCGGCTCAAAGCTGCTCGCACAGTTGAACCCAGGATGTAAAACATCCAGGCGATGTCGCCTCCCGCGTGTACGCGGCATGACCGCTAAGGTTGAAGAGCGCAAAAGCAACGCAGAGTTGCTCGGTTGAGATCAGAGCCGCGTCTATTGCGAGCTCTACCTCTCGAACCCAGAAATGTAGGCTCTCACCTTTTCTCCCGTCATACGGTTTCACCTTCAGCCGCATTGGCTTCGGATTTGCTTCCGCCGCCGGAGCCTACAGGTATCCCCGCACATGTTCGACGAGCCCTCCCTCATAGGCGTCAAACGCATTGACGCGCTCGACCTGCTCGGCCATTGACACTACCAGGCTCTGCAGAACCTTCATCCCGAAAATGCCAGCCATTTTCCGAATCGACACGAGCTGTGGGTCGTTCAGATGGGTGAAGTCGCTCCTATCCATAGTGACGAGCTCCAAAAAGGTTAAGGTAGTCTACCCGCGTTGGCGTGGATTGACTACATGTGCTACTATGTGTGACGGGGCCATACAGCGCCTTGCGCTTGAGGAAGTCGGCTTTCAAGAGTATCCAATCTTTCAGTGAATAGTAGTTCACAGGTCCCTTTTGTCGAAGGGAGCGAAGTGACCAGTCTAGGGTAAGTTGCAAACTGAATGTATTTATAGGTAGACTTAGCTTGAGCTAAATAAACAAATATACGTCACCTGTGTCATTTAACCTCTGACGACCCTGGTACCATGTACCAGGTATCCCCATGTCAGACTTCATGTAACCAGAGGCACTTGGGGTTACGTACCCCGCTACATCGACGTCGGCGAAGCACTCGTCCAGGGGCAGGGGCCGAGCGGCCTCTTGGCGTAGCAAATGACTGAAATTTGTAAACTGTAATTTATACAGGAGGTGCGCGCAAGGGATAAACTAAACCGTGGTTTGTGTTTTAATCATCTTCCGCTAAAGTTAAATTGATATTAGTAGCCAAACATTTTCTTACGAGTGAACTGTAATCAGGTTTTCAGCCAGCCGAATGACCAGCTGAAGTCCGCTCCTATCCAGGCAACAAAGAAAAGATTAGCCCTTAGAGATATGTCTTATCAGCACACATTTACCGTTATGTTCAAGCGAGTTTTGAACAGTGTAAAAAATCCACAGGAAGAGATTCGCTTGGACCATTCTCCAACTCCGATCAAGCACAAACGATAGTAGCCGCAGCATTGAAACACCAATCTTGCGCTGGATAAGGAATCCAAATACAAGAAGGGACAGCAGCTCAATCGTGCCAAATTTAACGACAGTCCCAAGCTTTCTCCCTAGTCCTGCGTCGTCTAGTTCTGCAACTTGAGAGTAGAAGGCACGGTTAGGTAGTTGGTACATCGCGATAGTGTACATGCCTAAATCAGCACAATAAAGTCACTTTTTCGACATGTTACAGCATGATTAAAAGACCAACTTACAGAAGATGAACGGCACGATGACTTCCGTGTACTCGACGAGAATCACAAACTCCGTCGTAAAAAGAACTTGAGCAGTCCTTTGTACGAATAGCCGACGTTCTCTTGAGGAGAATATATCTTTTATGATTTGATGCTGTGGTGAGGTTTCAGCATGGTGAAGAGGTGTGAAGGATTCCGCTGCAGCAACCTGGAGCGGTTCGCCTACTGTTGCTACTAGTATCACCCGTCTGCTTTCCCTTGGAGCCACATCACTGAAAGCACCGACGGAGCTAGTACTTTCTACGCTTCGTTGATCTTGGAACTTTAAAATCGTAAGCGCAGAGCTGTAGTGATGCAGCGATAGGTGAGCTTTCGCTTGAGAATCGTCTTTTATAATCTGCTGTGCAATCTCAATAAAACTCGCAGATTTTAATGGATGATCAACAGGAATTTTACGTTGAACCCGACGAATATACTTCATGAGATTCCCAATGTCTGATATCGACACCCAAGCCTGGACAATATCTAGCCCAATCATCGAAAGCATCGTGCTTATAGAGCTGGAATTCTGCATCGAACTGGAGACGTATAGTGCGTTGAACACGTCCACATTGAAAATCATAATTTGCGGCATCAGATCGTATTTAGTTACTAAAAAGTGGCCGATCCAATTCTTCGCAATAATCTTGATGATAGGCAGCAACACGAGATAAAACTTCTGACTTGATGGCTTCACTTGGATGAAGCCATACAGATACGCTGGATACACGAATGTGAGCAATACTTGGCAGACGAGAACAATGATGCTGCTTTTCAGCTCCATAAAAACCGCCGGCTTTTGTCTCAAAACTCGTCCAAAGTAGCACATAAAGCAAACGAGAACAATCACGAACCACACTTGAGTTCCAACCACAAGAGCGAAGGGTAACGGGAACCCGATGATACTGGACATAGCGATCATGAATAATACAGCGCCGCTACCTGAGATGACTGGTATCGTAATGACTTGTATGGCATTAATGTGGAGGTCTGGAATACTGACTCGAAACTGTTGTAAGATAGCTGCAGTCATGAGAGCAATCGACAGACAATCTCGAGCCCAAAACATGTAATTAGCTCTCGAGCCATCTTCCGGTTGGGCCAACGGAGCATAGTCGATTGCAGCGACAACAAGGAGGCACGGAAATGGCGACACGACACAAATAAGGAAGGCCCAGAGAATAGAAGTCTTGCGGCAGTATGCATCAAAGTTGTCGATTTGATCAGCGGAGTAATGTCCACGTGACTCTACCTGAAGACTCTCGCAAGATTTGTACACTCGACACCAGAGACGGTGATACAGTGTTGGCAAAGTCCCTATGTTTCGGCCAACGATAAAAAGTCCAGGACGGCCGAAAAGGCGAAAGACTTGGCGGATGGCTTTTATTGCCAATAACAGCCAGAACTAAAACAATACGTTTTACTTAAAAAGCTGTTAATTGCCATGACATTTGCTAAATAGTAGACGCTTAAAGAAGAATGAACCCCCTGATCTTCTGAAGAAGGCCGCGACGTGTGCCGGTGCAGACATAAGCCGCATCTAGTGCCTACACGTACCAAGACAACGTGCAGTCGCTGCTATTGTCTAAGACCACATGCATAGTCGCCGCCATGATGAAGGCCAAGCTCGTGGCGAACATGACCGCCTCACAATGCTGCAGTTGTCCGAGAAGACGTGCGTAGTTGCCGTCATCGTTTTGCTGCTGCTTAAATATACGCGCGTATTCGCTGTCATGCTGCCGGTCAAGGTCGCGGCGAGTGTGGTTGCTGACCCAGTGCTGAAGCTGTCCAAGATGACGTGCGTGTTGCTGTCCGTATTGATACTGCTCCTGCCGTGCGTCTCCGCCAGCGCTGCTACTACTTAAACCGACCTTCGTATTTGCCGACGTACTGCAGACCAAGGTGACGTGCGTGTTGCTGTCCGTATTGATACTGCTCCTGCCGTGCGTCTCCGCCAGCGCTGCTACTACTCAAACCGGCCTTCGTATTTGCCGACGTACTGCAGATCAAGGTCGCGGTGACCGTGGTTGCTGTTTCAGCGGGTTGTCCAAGATGAAGTGCGTAGTCGCCGTCACAGTGCTGCTGTAGGCCAAGGTGACGCTCGATGACGTCGTAACGCTGCCGGTCAAGATCGTGGCGAGCGCGGTTGCCGTTCCAGTGCTGATGTTGGCCAAGACGAAGTTTGTAGCCTCCGTCACAGTGCTGCTGTTGGCCAAGCTGACGCTGTCACTCTGCTGTTCAAGCTGGTGGTGAGAGTGGCGCTGTCCCAGTGCTGATGGTGGCCAAAATAACGTTCAAACTACCCAGCCTAAAGACATGATGGAGGAGAACGACGGATATGTTGGAGGGCCTGAAGGTGAAGAGTGAGATTGATCAAGTGAGGAAATAACTGAAAACGCCAAGGGCTTAGATGATTAGGTGACATGCGTAGATGTCCCGATTGGCTTCACGAAGGACGAGAGAGGACGAGTTGAAACGTCAACACACGAGACAATGCTGGTGAGTTGCGTGGTCTGCATTGAAGCAAGATTCGCTGATGAAACTATTGTTTTCAGTTGAATGATCAAATAAACATTTTAATAGATGCAGTTAAGCTACCTGGTTGCTTCATCATCGTTTTATCCAAAAAACGCTGCTAGTTTCACTTTCTGTCCACGAAATCCTCGCAGTTTGACGGCTTCTTGAGGGAAGGATTGATCATTATGACTGGTGAATGGTTCCTCCACAGCTTTCGCAATTTCTTCAAACTCATCCGAATCGACCTCGTTTATTTCTCTCATGTCCCTTGCGTCCCTGACGCTTGTGTTTACGCTTGTACGATCTGCTTCCTCGTAACCGGCACCAATTTCTTCATCTTCAAAAACTTCATCGAGGAATTCGCCCCAACAGATTCAGAGTTGGATCGCCATCAACACCGTCCCCCGGGTCGTCGCTGTCGCTATCTTCAGCTGCATTTACCGCGCCATGCTGTTGCGGTGACGGGGTAAACAAGCTCGGGTAATTTGCTGCATCTAGGATTATTTGCCTCTCTTCTGGAGATATCAGTAGCTTCTTCTTGGGATTCTCAAATGCTGCAGCATCTTTTTGTGCGCGTTGACGGACATGTTTGGCTACTATATGAAAGTCAAGAGCCTTACTTGCCGCCATTCGATTGCGTTTTGCCGTGTGAATGAGCCCAAGTTCACTGAACAAGCGCTCGCATGTGGCAGTATTGACTGCGATTGAGAGCACTCGCATAGCGAGCTTCGGCAACAGGCTCTTTGGCTTTTCCAACGCAACGCCTTCCCAGTACTCCCAGGGTGAATCAAGAAACTCACTTGGCTTCATTCTTGTGAATCTTCTCTGCGTCCATGCGAGCATGTCACGTCGGAGTTAGCCAATTTTCTCGGTGCTAAAGAGCCGTCTGTAGTAATAAACAGCATTTTTTGCAAGAGTGCCGATTCCAGATACTGCAGTCTCCGGTAGCTCTCTCGAACACTCCACGTATACAGGATGCAAAGCAAACCCAAGCATAAATAAGGGTTGCTCGCACTGTTCCCAGCGATCTTCGACGCACTCGATCAGTTTTTCTTGATGAACAAGGTGCTGCTGAAATCCCTTGCAGATATCGCCAAATGAGCGAACTACGTCTCCGACGGTGCTTTCGTCTCTTTGAAGTCGATACGAAGCGAGAGATAGCGGTGCAATAACCGCCTCTGCCTCTCTGAGCTCATCCCAGAACGCCGGATCTCCAAGAACATGAAGCTTCGACGAAAAATCACTTGCTCTCTTGTACTGACGATGAAACATTTGAAGCGCCGACTGTACACGTAGTAGCGACGCGAAACACCCTTGCATTGAATTCCATCTTGTTTCACACAATGTTCTCAGCCCTAGAGGCTTTCCGTAAAATTTCTTCATCACCTTTCTCTTGCGTGGCAACCATTTTGACGAGGAGGCGTTCAAGGTATTGACAGCAGCTGCAGCTTTGGCAGCAACACCACGAAACGAAGATCGCAGAACCACTTTGAGGAGATTATTTACTGCTTGTGCGAAGCAGAAGAGAAAAACAATTTGAGGCCACCGTAACGACAATATACGACGTGCACGACCACACTGCCCCGCATTGTCGGTAATAATTGCTCCTACCTTCCACCTCTCTTGCTGCGCTTGAAGTAACACTTACTCCAATCGCTCAGCAATAGCAATCCCGTGATGTCTATCGCCAGCGGGCAAAAGAGCGTAAGTAAGAAGTACCCCAAATAGCGCGAGCTGGCAGCCTAACAAATGATCCTTTGAAATATTCTGCCAGACATCGGAGAGTAGATTAACCCAGCCTTGTGTCCTTTCCTCCATTGCCCTGAGCTCATCTGTGTTCATCAATTTGCAGCGCTTAGCGTGTTCTTTCAAAATGCGGTTACTTAAGGTTCGACGAGAAGGGAGATAGTCCGTTATTCCTGGACATAGCAGCTCCAAGAATCGCAGCGGTGACGATTGCTCGATGAAACGGTCGGGAAGATGATTATCAGCGTGTAGCTCAATGAGCGAACATTCAAGCTTCTTGACCTCTCCCTTTGTAAACTTTCGCCGCTGCTTCTTCAACTTCTTGGTCGATGTTGGCTTGCGTCGCTTGTGACTTGAATGTGGCCGGTTTGGGCTCAGCCGCAGGCGCTTTTCAAGAACCAGAGTGCGGCGCGCACGTGATTGGACTGCGATCCTTGAGCTGCTTCGTACAGGCGTTTGCAGTGTACCTGTTCCTGAGCATAATGGCTGTCTAATGGGCGCAGGTGTTGCTTCTAACGATGACGTGGGACTCCGGCTCTGTGCTCTCGGCGGCGTTTCCGGTGCTGGTGATGAGCTTGTAGATGCTGGTCCCAGCTGAGCGGCCTGAGAATACTCGCATTTGGCTAGGTGATTGACATAGTTGCGCGCTCTGCCAATGATCGCCTTCGGCGAGGTGGTGGTTACGTTGTTACTGAACGCAGCTCTGCAGAAGCTGCACTTTCGAAACGAGTAGCCCCCTCCTGCCTCACCGAGTTCTTTGAGGTGTGTGAAGTGTCTGGCCTCCCGACACGCTGGACGGCCTCCACCAGCCATGATAACGACGTAGTTATTGCTCTCGCTCTCTCTCTGATCAGAGTCTAAACTTTATGTGAGGCTGGGGACGATTTGGCCGAAACTCATTTGGCCTTTCCGTGGCCGAATGGCCGAAACTCCCTGGCGAAACCACGTTCCGGCCAGCGATTGGCCGAAATATAAAGGCCACGGTGCCAACACTAGGTGATAGTTCACCATCTTATAAAGTGACCAATTCGGTGATCAACAACTATATTTATTGCGCCATACATAGCATGGAATCTCAATCCTCAGCTTATAGTACTATAACGAATGTTTTAATATTCTAATCAACTCGTCTCATATCTCGATAAGAAAACTGCTGAACTGGTCCCGTTAAACTTTTGAATCCTTTGGTTGGCTTGCAACATGTCCACATAAGCTCGAATCACGGTCGGGGAGGTAGAATTGTTCCTCAAATCCAGTTTCTGCAATGTTTTATGGTTTTGTAAGGCATGTGCGAGTTTACACAGTCCTTTTTCCTGTAGTTTCGGCTTCAACTGGGACCCGTCGACCACCGAATGTAGCGAAAACGACAGCAACGTGGAATTTCCTACAAGTGCGTCGGCTAGCTCGAAGGCGCCTTCATTTCCAATATCGTTAAAGCTTAGATCGAGCTCCTCGAGACGCGGATACGTTCGCAATAGAATCGCAGCAGCGTGAGCTCCTTCGTCACCAAGACCGTTCTTCGAGAGATCGAGAGAGCGGCACTTAGAGCTCGTCGTTGCTGTGAGCTCCTCAACAACAGCAGAGGCGCCATACTGTCGCAACGCCCGTCCACTTAGATCGATCTTTTCTTGATCTGCAAACTCGTTAATGAAGCGCTTCCGAAGATCATATGCTTGTGAGATAGCAGCCAGCATGGTCCTACACTCGGGTGTAAGTGGATTCCCGACGCTAAGATTAATTCGACGCTGCTGGTTGGCTTTAAACGCCTTCAAGTACAGTTGTTTGGCTCCATTGCCAGTGATCTGGTTGTGGTCTAGTTGCAACTCCTGAAGCTTCGCATTCCACTCAAGACCTTCGGATAAACCAACAATTGCTTTGTCTGACCAATTCGCAGCACTCCGAGTTACAAATCTCCTCTTCACACTTCAAGTCATGAGTGTTTACTCGTACCTGTGATGACGTTGTTGGACAAATTAAGCGCTTTAAGTGGCGGCTGCAACGCTAGGAACAAACCAACGTCGTACGCGCCTCTTTCTCCAATCTCGTTCCCACTCAAATTGAGTTGTTCCAGATGCTGCCAGTTGGGTGACGTTCGGAGTGTTTGTGTCACGATATGGACATATCGATCAGTTAGACAGCACTTCAGCAGGACATCGCGCTTGACCTTTGCTCCATTAAAGTTGAGGATTGATGCATTCGACTCGCCAAATGTAAGCTGCGTTTCGATAATTTTCTCATGCAGCTTCGTGTGAAGATGCTCGAGTGCAGTATCATATTTACCTCCAAGATGGAGATAGCGTAGTGGAAAAGGAGCCGACAATCCGTTTATCGCGTGTAAGAATGAACTTATTCCAGCTTGTTCGATCTGTGGCAGTGCTTCGTAAGTCTATCGTTAAAAAACACCCAAGTTACTCGTATATTGCCATACCTGGTTTGTCTCAAGGTCAAGTGTATGCAGTGCTGGTGTCTGATCCAGTACGAAAGCTAAACTGGTGGCACCACAGTCTCCAATCGTATTTCCTGCTAATGAGAGAACCTCAAGCTTCATCCTCGGCAGCACATTTCCAAGTGTAATGGCTGCTTCGTCTGTCAAGGCGTTCGAGCGGAGATACAACTTGGTGATGTATTTGGCGAAATTGGCTTGAGCTAGCTGTGAGATAGCCGAGTCTGTGAAACCAGTGCAAGACATGTCAAGTACTTGCAAGCGTTCCCGGTCTTGATGATCAAGAACTTGTATGAGTGAATGAATGCAGTTGGAAGATGAAGTCTGGTCGCACAATGCATTGAGCGATAAATCGAGCTCTGTGAGGCTGGTGCATCGTTTAATAAAAGCTGCAATAGCTTCAAGCCCTCGCGCTGTGAATCTAAACAGAAAACGATACATAAAATCTCCCGCACGCAATTTAGTCCATGTTTTACACAAACGTACAGGTTGTTGGCCAGATTCAATTTTGTCAATGCAGGCCACGCTGTTTCTCGTATGTCAGTTGTCCAATGCTCCCAGAAATCGTCGTCTAGTTGGTTGAATGAGAGATCGAGTACAGTTAAAGACGCTGACACGACTGGAAGCGAGAGTGGTGGGAAGATCTCTCGTCCCAAACTACTGGTTAGTTGTTGCTCTGATAGTATTATCCTTTTCGGAGCTTGCACCTCAGATGCACGACGGGTGGTCCGAGGCTGCTCTAGCAATCTTGCAGTATCTTGAAGCTGGCTGACGCTTGAGAGTTGTGCTCCAGTGGCGGGCATGCCTTCTTCCTCCAAATGTTCAACTGATTCCATGATGGGAATGAAACGCCATTTAAATAAAAAAAAAACTACAAGAGACGCACATAGCAACCAAGACTGAAACCTCGTTCTGTTATAATACGGCGAACGATCAGTACCGCGCGGTTGAGTACGTATCATTGTACATAACGTTACTACTAGTGTAGTATGTGCTTCTGTTCATTGAGTACATCCGAGCTATTTTGATCAAAGTTGGGATCAGTCGGGACGACTATACCGACTCGGTGTTTAAGAATATCGGCGATGAAACGAGAGTACTAATGCTATCAGACAGTTTTCTACTGTCCCCTTTAAAATGATAGAAAAACGCGAGTTTCTCGTATCTTGCTCTCAAATATAGTGTTACATGGGGTGACGCACTTGGCTGCCTTATTTAGAAAAGTACGCTACTGAAACTCTCTAAAAAAAATAGCTCACCAATAATTGTGACGAGTGAAACCTTCGGTGTATTATCACATCGCGTAGACGAGGATTTACAATGCGAGGTCTGCAGCGCTTCTGTCGAGGCGTGTATGATGTGTGGGTGAATCTTCAAGTGGAACTCCATGGCAGCTACTCGGTCTCTCGTATGAAATTTCTATCCGAATACTCGAGCTCCACCTCCGTTTGCCGCGCCAGTATATTTGTCATCATGGGTCCATTCCCGTGCCTCATAATCCTGACGTTGATCGATTGCGTTCCTCTCGCTCCCACCGAGGAAGGATCTCGAGCAAACTACTTGTTCTGGGGCAGAAACTACCTGACGATCTCGCTCATGACTCGTGCAATTCTCGAACAGCTCCACCTTACAGTGCCAAGCTTGGACTTCACCTTCATACGAACAATCTGCATCTCTGCTCTCCCCAGTGCCGGCGCTGTTGCGTTGGTGTTAACGTTCATCTACCCGGCGTATCTATACGGCTTTCGATCCGTGAGCTCGACTGTACAGACAATTTACGTTCTGCTACTTCCTATTATCAAAATTGCAACGAAAAACTGGATTAGCTTTTTTCTCGGAACGAAAGACGACTTGAAGCCACAAGCTGTGATCCTCAACATTGAGGTTTTCAACGCGCTGTACGTGGCTAGTTCAATGCAGAACGCGACGTCGATCAGTACGACGATGGCTCTGACGCTAGTGGACTTTGTCCTTGCGTGGATATCAATCAAGGACGTGAATGATTTCTTAGCTGACATCACGGCTCTGCTTAACAAAATCCCACCTAAGCATCCGTTAAAGACGGCGAGTTTTATGAAGGTAGCTTTGAAAATGCTTGAAGAGGACGCCCAGTTGAGAGCAGACTCGGCTCTGCGGTTGTTCTCCGTTCGCTCACCGGGTCCTAGTAGTCGCCCCTCTAGAATTCGAAATCTTGATCCAGCAGTCGAGATGAATTTTCAGTCCAGTCATCATATATTTCCTACTGCTTCTATATTACCAAAGCTACCGTCTGCTACCTTTGTGACTGCTGCAACCGTGGCCCCCTTCAAGCCTCAAACCTACAACAAGCCTCTTCGATCACTCTTCAGCACGAAGCAACGAATGGAGTATGTGCAAAGAACCGCGCAAGTTTTGTTCACAACCGAGTTTATAATCCTTATCGAGTTCACGGAAGTTATCATCCCGTTCATCTACAGTGAGCTAGTCACCCACCTTGCTGCCGCATATTCGATACTAATCTAACTGCTAATTGTATGTAGGTTCGTATACGATAGCAATGTTCCAACTTCCGAACCGAGTCTTTTACCCGCAGATACGTGAACTGGATCGCAACACTCTCGCGCAAATGATTGGCAACATCGCCATTTACGGGATCATGGAGCTCCTTTCTTTCATCGCAATGAGTGTTCTACTCAGAAGGAAGCTTGGCATTACGACTCTACACCAACTTGCCTTTGTACTTGACCGTGAGCGGCGCATGGTGCAATCGAACTTGTTTCTCTTGATCTGCTATACGATCCAGAATTCACTCGACCACAACGGTAATTAGTTTTTGTGTGTGCATTGCTGTACTACTTGTTCTGTGTGCGGATTTTAGCTGGTAATTTAACTGGCTGGAAACCAAACACGGCTGAAACCTGGTAAACCGAAGTCCTTTAGTTTTTTTTGGCAATTTTGAAAGGGAAAATAAATGTCCTATTTTTTTTTTTATTTATGAGCCATGTTAAGTGTTATTTATCTGCATATGTGTTATGAAGTGAGGAAGCCGGCGACATCAAGTCATGTGCGCGAGGAGACATGAACCGAGGACCAGCTGGAGATGAATGTGGTCTTACTGGTCGCTGTTGAACAAATTTCGTGGCCGTGGCTACGTTTCCTCCTGACGCTTTGGTACTCCACGTACGAGTTGAGTCGGGGAGTGGCATGGATCCCCGGAGTGCGCAAATTGATGAGTGAACTAAATTGAATGGACGTGGTCCCGCAGATTTCGTGAGTCGTTGCTACGTCGATCACAGGACACATGAACGGAGTCATTAAGCTAGGATTTTAAGCATCAGGAGTTAACCGGAGCTTACCGGGCTTTGAAAGCCTTCGTCTGGTAATGAGCTTTGCGGGGATGTTCCACCAGTGTACTCGGATCGATTGCGTCGCTCTTGATCCATCAATGGACTGACTAGCGCTGGGAAAGTTGAGGTCGGGATCTGCTGAGTTTGCGGTATATGGCTCATGTGAACTTTTGCGTACGGATAGAGAGGGCGATTGGTGGTTGGGCTTCGGCGAGGAGAGCCACCCTGCGTCGGGTACAGCAACGCGCTAAGCTCAATATGTGGCTTTCCTTTTCGACTTAAGTTTTCAAGAAGCATTGATACACCGTGCAGCAGCTACAGAGCGACAAGAGTGTCGTCAGTTCTAGTCCAAACATACGGAAGGGAAGTTCGAAGAACGTACATGCGCTTGGGCCTTTTTTAGCTCATTTTGTGAAAGAACCTGAGCCGATATGGCACCCTCCAGAGCGCGTCTGTGTTGACGAACGATCCGCTTCATGAAGTGACACAGTGTATTGATCTTGTAGTTGGTAGGAGACAGAGTTCCGTCACGCTGTGTCTTTGCTCGTCTGTCGGCTCTGCGTTTTAGCTGATGGTAAAGACTTTAGTACAGCATTACTACGTTCGAGGCTCATACATACCTGGTCGAATCGCTGTTCACTGGACATGCAAAGCACTCGGAATACCAATACCTGCCAGTTTCTAATAGCGTACTGTTCCTTCGCTGCAGAGCTTTGGTTGATCAGCACTCGCAGCTGTTGAATCACCTCCGGGTCGCTCTCGATATCCGCAGAACTATCCAATAACGACAGCTCTTCCTCGCTGAGATCCGAAAGTTCTTCATCGTCACTTACAGACACATCTCGACTTTCGTGCTCTTCGAAAGGTGTGTCATTAGAAGTGTGCAAAGCAGGATACTCCGCTTTTATATCGGCATTGTTACCGCTCTCGGAGTCATGATTTTCTGCCAGCACAGGGTCGATCTCGGGCATTTCTGTCCCTTTCTTGGTTGGTACAATATCACCACCTTTTAAAACCTCTTGTACCAGCTTTTTCCTTTGAATATTAATCGAAGGAATCTCGATTACGGTCGTGACGTCGTTGCTAACAGCATCTTCAGCGGTGGCTTCATTTGTAGTCTCTTGAATGCCTCTCGTCTGGCTTGATTTGATCTTGTTATCAACAGCTCCAGTCGTTTTCAAGTGGCAGCTAGACTTGGAGCGTTTTGTACTGTTAAAACTTTTCCTGGGAGAGTTCGGAGCACTTCGAGTCGCTACCGGCGAACTTGCTCCGTTTCCAGTATTTTCGCTGCTGAATTTTGTATCTTTCGCTTCCAATTTCGAATTGGCAATCGTCGTACGTCTATTCCGTGGACTGAGCACGGTTCCAAGATGCGCAGCTACCAAGTCGCGTGCTAATTGTTGCTTGGTAGCAGTCATCCCTGTGTAGATAGTCTCCAAGTCCAATAACGCATTGCTGACATGTTTACGTTCTGCTTCAGTTAGCGTTGACGGAAGTGGTACCTCAACCTCTGGGTCGGTCTGGGAAAGCTTCGATTGGTTCAAAAGTTCGTTGGAGATCTGCATCAGTCTCTTCTTGTGTTTCTCACAGATCGAGCAGACTCCAGTCGAGTCGTCGGTTTGTTTGTCATTACGTGCGTCTAGCAGTTGCTTTTGGTAAATCTGCTGCGCCGCTTCTAGCGCTTTGTTGGTATTCTGGAGTTTTTCACATTCCAGTTTCCAGAATTCGACCTCGGCTAGATTTCGTTTCCGCAAAGTACAGAGCTCCTCCGACATGTGTCCTAAATGGGTTGTCAACGTTAACAAGCGATCGGTCTGAAGAGCGGATGCGCGTTGGGATGCCCTACGCTGCTTTAAGTTGTCTGTTTGTGCGGTTGAAAGGGCCTTGAACAAGTCCCGAGGATGTGACGCCAAACTGACAACCAGACTGCCTTGACAAATACTGTTGGTGCGACTGCGTTTCTCGTCTTCCTCGGTGATCTCTGCTTCGGCCCTTTTCAGTATTTCTTGCTGCGTTTCATGCTCTTTTCGCACTCGAATAATGTCGTTAGCATAGCGTTCCACTAATGTTTCCATCCTCTTGACTTCGCTTCGATCAGCATCTTGTTCGCTCGGTTCCGGCTGCTTAGCGTTGTCGACCTTATCAGCTTCACTGTCGTCTTCTTCGCTTTTAGACTCGTCGGTTGTAGGAAGGAGATTAACTTCCTTTACGGGCGAGTTCATGGCGAGTTTTTTCATCAAAAGTTTCACTGCAGCTTGTCGCTCTTCGATCTTAGTATTTCGAGTCTTCAACGAGAAAGCCAGCGAGGTTTTCAGCATCGCCAGCTCTTGCGCGTGAGTGTCTTTTTCTTTCTGAAGCGCACGCTGCAAAGTCACCGTTCGTTCCTGTGCTACGTCGAGCGCTTGTCTGCTCTCCACTAACCCTTCGTCCTTGACAGCGAGGGTACTCTTTAACTCGACAATCAAGTTATCGTATTGCACATTACGTCGATGTTGACGCGACGCAAAGCGGGGTCTATCGGAGGTTGAATTATCTTGACCGTAAGCTGAGCGTATGATCTCATCAACGTCAATCCCTTCCTCTTCGTCCAAGTCCGTTTGAAGACAACTATCCACTGCACTGGACTTGACTAACTCTGCTACTTGGATCTTCTCCTGTAGCTCTACAACATGCATCGTAGACAGCTGAAGCTTCCCTTCTAATGCCAACGTGGTGGTGTTCGCCTTCTCCAATTGAGTCTTTAGATCCAGAACCTGCTCGAGGGTTTTACGCAGATACGAGTCTGCGTCGTTCACACCGTCTTCTCCATCCGTATGGATGTATCCAACGCCAATGCACGCTCTACACGGGATTAAACGCCCAATCTCTGACGACTGCCTTCTACCGAGTTGACGAGCACGTGGATCTTCGTCTTGCTCCTCTACATTTTCTCCCTCAATAGAAATAATCTTTGTCTTATTATCAAGCTGTGTCATGACTGCCTCAAGGCCTCGTGCGTTGCGTCGCTTGCCACCACGACGAGCACTTTGCTCCACTGCTGCCCACAGAATATCATTACTCAAAAACTCCACAAGAGAATCACCGATCTCATCCCAACTGCCTTGATACGAACGCACTGCGTCTGTAATCCTTCGTCGTTCTGCGATGGCATTCTCTGGTTTTAAGAACCAAGGTGTGGACTCATTAGCGCGATACCGCAAGTTCTCCTGCGTCAAAGAAGCAACTTTATCTCGAAGCTGTTGACACTCAGCTGCAGCCTCTCGTGCACGTTGCTCCCATTTCTCCTTCTCTCGATGCGTGTTAGCATTAGCCGACCATACACGTCCAGAGTTTCTAGCTTGATCCTGCTCGTTATTCTGTATGTTGTCTGGGGTGGGTGTCTGTTGCTTTCCGACTAAAACTGTAGCGATAGCATCGTTCAACGTCGATAAAGCACCCGGTTCTGTTCCCTGTTTGCTCATGATATCTCGCAGCATTAGCAGTTGTCTGTACTGCTCCTTGCGTAGAGCGTTGTTCTCGGCCACTCGACGATCGACTTTACCTTTCAGATGTGCCACCTGCTTCTCCCATCCCTCAATTTGTTCTAAGAGTTGCGTAATACGTTGTCGCTGGTCTTGAAGGACTAGTTGTTGCGTCTGCATTTCCTGCTGCACGCACTCGTGAATCGTGTTAACAAGAGTCGTCTCGCGCTCCTGGATTAACGGGGCTAACACGGTGTCAAAGTATACTCGTAGTTGACCATCGATAGTCTCGGACGCCTCGTCCTCTCGAATTCTGCGCTCGAGTTCGCCTCGACGTTTATCGGGGTCGTGGCCATAAACTACCAATAGTGGCGACGTCCATGCTGGTGATCGCAAAAGGCGGCAAAGATCGGCAAACGCTTTAGCGAAAGGTGTGTTTGCACCCTCTTCGTTACCCAAAACGAGTCGAGGTGTCACAAAGCGCGTCATCCCGGCAGAAACCAGATCCAATTCCGTCTGCGTCTGTTTCTCCTCTTTTGACAAGAGCTCGTTGGTTTCCCAGCCCATGTAGACTCGACGCCCATAAGCTCGAGATCGAACGTAAGCTTGTGGAAGTTGGCCTTTGACTTGCATGATACCTTAACCAAGTGACGCAATGGTGTCGACTTTGAGCTATCATAGATACAACACGTATCGGATTTTCTTTAATTGTGTCGAGGCGCTCCACTTAGGTATAGAACAAAAATAAATTCTAAATCGGCTGTTGACTTCGCATCAGCCCTCGAAAAGTAAAGCGTTCTCCACTTTACATCGCCTCACCAGCAGGGGCTAATGGGCGCCACCCAAAAGTGGCATAAGCGAACGTCTCCAGCAACGTATCACTGGGCAAGCTCGATAGTTACCCAATGTAACGAACGACACGTCAAAGCAAAGTACATACTCATTTCCAGCGTTCATTTTTCTTTCGCTACCGGTATGAAGATAAGCATATTAATAACAAGATAAACAAAGTCGAGCGCTAGAATCAGCTGATTGCAAATGTTCTACCACTGCTCGATATATTTCTGCAGGGTCAACGAGATAATTGCTGCGCAATACTGTACACATTTCGCAAACGCCTGTATTGCGCTTGCGTATAAAAATTGTTGAGCCCTGGCTGAACGCTCGCTGTGTAACAACATTGGGATGTCATACGTGCAGCGTACACTATCCGATAAAACAATTATTCATGTTGCAAGCCTCGCTACACCCTGCAGCGCTGTGTCAGGACATACTATCCGAATAAGAAAACTGCAAAAACGGAGCTTTTATTTTTCCAAAAAAGTTAGTTACAGAAACACAACCGACCGTTTATGTTTATCCAAATCGTAAAATGTTTTCGACAGCTGTGAGGTTTGAACTCACGCGGGTTACCCCAATGGATTTCAAGTCCATCGCCTTAACCACTCGGCCAAGCTGTCTGCACAAAATAGTACGAATAAAAACACTTCAAAAATATTACTAAGATAAATTAATAAGCGTCACACAGCATAGAGGATTTTTGACTTCCGAGAGCTTACAAAATATCAGTGATATAGATAGAAATATAGAAATTGACGTCTAATAACTTCATATTAACTTCGCTCCTTTAGGCAAAAGCCCTTAGGTAAAAGCCCTGACTAAACGAAGGTAATATAAAATTATTAGACGGCAATTTCTATATTTCTTCCTATCGTGCTCATGAAGCGGCTGATTTCGCCGTATTTTCTTGCTGTATGGCAAAGCTGAAGCATGCTAGATGCTACTCGGCATGTGACGGGGTCTCACAGCACCTTGCGCTCGACGAAGTCGACTTCCGAGAGCATACAAACTCTTAGTGAGCAGTAACCAGTTCAAGGTAAGCAGCTAGCTGAATGTATATGTAGGTATACTAAGCTTCAGCTAAATATGCAAGCTATAAGTCATCTGTAGTAAAGCTATGTCATCGGCCAATGGTTGGCCTCTGACGACCATGGTACCATGTAACATAATGTCTCCCTTAACAAAGGTATTTACCGTGTACAGTACTTGTACGATTTTCAAAGTCTTGATTTGAATTGTGGTAAAAACCACTTTATATATTAAAGTACTAAAGCTGTTTCTATCCAATACAAAAATAAGCTGTGTGGTGTATTCATATTTCGGTACCCTGGCTTCTTGATCGTTGGCAATAAGAGACATGTAAACATTGCAACACATTAAGAGTCGTGTTTGCCAGCGAGCCATGTAGTATAGGAGCCGCTTAAGTGTATAGTCGGTATTTTGATGGCTTTAATAAAGAGGACATCAATCTACGCCTATTAATGCAAATTTTATGATACAATAGTAAGACTTCGAGGTGGGCATTACCTTCCTCAGTCGACTAAATGTGAAGATATGGCTGCAAAGACATTTCGAAATATTAGAATCAACATTCAGAGCATAAATTTGCTAAATCGGCTGGCTTGAAACTCTTAAAAACTCACAGAAAAAATCAAGCCCAACGTTAACAAGTGTGGCGGCAGTAGCTGCGGCGACGGGCGCGGTCAACGCCGTGGGGGGGGGGCGTATAATTAATCCAGCTCACCCAAGTTGAAGCTCTTGAGCTTCCGGTGCTTTTGGCTGCGATTGGGGAGGAGGATACCTGGCTCGCAATGCATGATGCTGGCCTCTCTGACAGCCCTGAACGACCTTTAATACCAGACGTACGGCTACCTACGGCTACATCAACTGTATCTAAGATTTCCGCTTTGATGCTAATGGGATTAGGCTGCTTGTGCATCTATTTGCCCTATCAGCTACCATCATAACAGAAGGTGATATATGCGTTAGTGAGGAGGCTCTAGCTATCAAGCTCTACCGGCTTTAATACCCGCGGCAGTTGCACGACATCGTGAACCTGGGTGTTGGTAAGTTTGTCGTGTAGCTATGCTGCTACCAAGGTGGATCTAAGATTAGTATCTTCTCCATTACCTTGCCATGCTCTTGAGAGTAGGGCTCCTCTACGAGAGCTTGCTTGAGCAGCATCACGCCCCCAGCTTCCGAGAAATTCTTGCGCTTCGGTGTCTACGCCATTGAAACTCTTAACAGTGTGATGGTGCATACAGTACAGTGTTCGATGAGCGAATGGTTGGTGTAAGGGTAGAGGTGCGGAATCCACATATGCGAGCTCCACCAGAATTTGACTAGGAGGGTTAGGTAGATTGTTGTCCTAAACAAAAATGTGAAGGTGAGGGATGTGCAAACGCGTTTCGAAACCTGTCTATTACCAAGTCGTATTATCACCAAAATTCGACGGTCAATATTTTGTCCGGTATGGTTGAAAAGCAGCATAGTTCGGACACGATGATTGTAACAGCAAGTATTACAATAGCGATGGGCCTATCGAATGTATCGAAGCTACACTTTAAGCCAATGAGCGCGCTTCAAACATTTTTGTTTCCGGCTCGGACAAGTTGGTCCGATCAATCCACAAAAATTTTATATGTCCATACTACAACTATGTCATTCTAATATTTCCAAAATATCGACTGAATTATGTTGATAGGCTGTCTCCTCCTCCTCCACTTGCTTTCGACCAGATCACGTGGTGCTCCGGCCATAACGGTTTTTGAAGCGGTGAAACGTCTCATGGCCCGTGCTGTATGTCATAAACGCGTCTTTAATATACTGTAAGCTCGGTAGTTAAGACCTCCAGGCCTCAATTGCTGAATTCACTTGACCGCTTCAAATAGATATGTGTCCCAATAGATCAACTCACGTCATTTGGTCAGTATAATCCACACGCGGACTGAAAGAGCGCTACTTGCCTTTTGTCCTACTCTAAAAAGGTGAACTAAAGTTCGGCGAAGAGCTCTCTCCCGTCAAATGGTCTGGTCGCAAGTTCCTACTGCCTCACGTTGAGGCATTCCATATTCTCGTTTTGTTTCGGCACCGGAAACTTGTCCGCCGCGGGCTGCACATCCTGCGCTCCCTGCGATTCAGCGGCGTAACGTCGCTATATATCGAGCTACCACGCTTCGTACCCCGATTCTGTGGCGCAGTGACAGATCTGTCTGTAAACGGTGTCTGTGGCGTCTAGACGAGGTAGGAATATGTACCCTTATTTCTCGCCCGAGGCCCGAGGCAAAGAGGCTTGAGCTCGTGGGAGCATCATCAGCATGTTAGCACCCCGTCCGCCATATCCGTTACCGACACCTTTCTTTCCAGTTTTGTTTGAGATTCGTCGAGCCCTTCGGTTTTTAATGCCACACCCCACATGCGGTTCGCTACCCCCTTCTGTCGATGCTTGGATTTCGGGTTGCTGCTGTTGATCCTTTCACAAGTAACAGCAGGGCTTACATCTCTATCGTCATCCACTATATGAACCCTTTCGCGATTGGTAATGAGTGCCTCCGTCGTAGCGTGTGCATCAGCGTAGACGGCCTCGTCAGTGGTATCCTCATAACGTGAAAGACCCTGGTTCTGGAATCAATCTTGTTCTACAGTGCACGCTTCAAGATTGAGTACGCAAAAGATGAATTAGCATTTGGTCTAATTTTCAAGCCGACATCCTCCTCGCTCTGGCAGTCTCACGCTACCTCATTAGACCCCAAACGCCGCCAGGGTGTACACTCATTACGGTCGGTCTTTGATCGCGATTAGCGTCCTTCAATAGGTATGCAGGTGGGGTAATACAAGCTAACTAGATAATTGAAGCACCTGGCTACCTATTTGGGCAACATTTGCCCCCCCTGACTTCTCAAAGAGGGTTTAGCCACCTTCTGCCAAGGTTCCGCATTGAGCAAGTTTCAATAATGACAATATGCTGGTCACTAGCTAACGAGAGGAATTGGTTTAGTTTAGCTTGTGTGCCGCGAGTTTTAGTGCGTATCCGGCTCGGTTTGACCTACGTATTTTATTTTCGCAACAATGATTCAGTCAGGTATAATATAGGACACCCCTCTCTGCGTGTTCTACATGATATTTCCAGCGGAATTTCGGTCAAAGTCCACATTTGGTCGGATAGAGAATCAATCCAGCGGTTTGTGAGGTAGCAGCCTATACTTACTGACAGCGAAATGCATGCCTCATGTAATCGCATTCACGTTGCATACACTGCTCCCCCTCGTTTTCGTTGGCCGTGGACCTTGTTCAAAAGTACAGATTGACTACGATGGATAAGATCCTATCATATTGACAAGGGGGGGGGGATTTAACGGGGTACGTAGCCCCAAGTGTGATACGTCAACACTTTGGGATACCTGGTACATGGTACCAGGGCCGTCAGAGGGCAACTATTGGCTGATGACATAGCTTTACTAAAGGTGACTTATAGTTTGTATATTTAACTCAAGCTTTGCCTACCTATCAAAACATTCAATTTATTACTTACCTTAAATCGGTCAATTCGCTCCCTTAGGCAAAAAGGGACCTGTGAACTGACGTTCACTGGGGGTTTGTATACTCTCGGAAGCCAACTTCCTCTAGCGCAAGGCGCTGCGTGGCCCCGT